CACGTGGAAATGCAAGGAAAAGGGGGACAGGAAGGGGCACAAGGGGCCCTGCTTCCCTCCTCATGCTCCAAACATCCTCGTGCTGTAACAGTGAGAGGGAATGTGGGCAATGCTGGGGAGCAGCACAGTCCCCCTGTCCCACAGCAGCACCCCCACTGCTCTGGGAATGTGCACCCCCGAGCAGCCCCACGGACAAACCCAACAGCACCTGCAGGATTAAGGAGCACCCTCATTAATGACAGCTCCAGAATTAACAAGCTGGCTCCACCACCCACTCAACTTCTAAGAAGTCAGGTGAGGGTGGGAGGGAGGCAACAGGAGCCAGTTTCTTTTAAGATCACTGGTGAGCAGTCAAGCAGGAAAGTGGCCTGGGGTGTCACACCAGTGACCTGGGGCTGGAAATCTTTAAAATCTCATTTTACATTTTAATCTTCTCCTTTTCTTCTCCAGCAAAACAACCAGGGCTGTCAGGGGATGAGAGGCTGAGCACAGGAACTGTTTATTGGGGAATGCCACCTTCTCCTGCCGTCACCTTTCCCAGAGACCTTCTCCTGCAGGATTACTAGGGGCACCCAGAGCAAAGCCCAGACTTACTTGCAGAGCAGTGAGACCCCGTGTCCTCGCTGCCAGCAGCAGGGATGGCTTGGTCATATGCTCTGAGGGAACCCAAAGAAAAACCCTTCAGGATGCTGCCCTCCTGTGCTGCTCACAGAAGCCAGTTTTGGGGGAAATCCAGCCTTTTAGGAAAGTAGAAGAGCTACTGACCAGAGAGGAGTTTGCAGCCACGGGGCCCACAGGTTTTGTTCATCCCTTCCTGATGGCATCCAGCGGCCTTGCAAGGGGGCAAACCAGAAGTGTCGGAATCTGTGGGTATTGATGATTCTGAGATTGCATAAAGTCTCTGTCTTTCTGCCCCGCTGCCAAAGAAGAAGCCATAATTCGTCTGTGCTGGTTTCAAGGTTGTTTATTCTGTTTATCTCTAACATGTTCTGCTGCCCTGCCACAGCTCTGTCCTGCAGGGCAGCGTGTGGGGCTCTGCCCCCAGTGGGATGTTACAAACATTTTATACCAGAAACTACCTGTGCTATATTTACAATAATGTGCCAATATCTATCATCTACGTTGGACAGTGTGTTCCCAGCCTAAACCAACAGAAAAATGCCAACACTACAGTGAAACATGGAGGGCATGAAGAAGGAGGAAAAGGACAAGACACACCCAATTCCTCCATCTTGTCCCCTTTGGACCCCTAATCTAGAAACCTAAAATTTTACTTTTGCACCCGTGTCACACTTAATTATTACTCTTATCAAACACTCAGAGCTTGTAATTCATCCTGTAAGATTGAAAACTCTTTTCCATGGAGATCACAGACAGTGTCTCTGAGGGCTCTGTACAGGGGGGTTCTGACCCCTGCCAGGGTTCCAGGCCCTCCAGGGCAGCCAGAGGGAAGCCCTGGATTCCCACACAGAAGGAGTTATTGATATGTCTGTATTAAAAACAGAAAAATGCCAAACCAGCAGCTGTGGTGCAACTCCAACCTCCAAGGCCCTGAAGGAGCTCAATGAAGCTGCGATGGGTCAAATCCTGCCTGACCCACTGCCTCGGGTGAGCCCCAGGGAGAGTCAGGGATGCTCCCGGTGAGATCCGGGGGAGGAGGGAGCTCTGCCAGCCTGACCCCACCGAGTTCAGCCCCAGCCCTGCACAGAGCAGCTCCCCAGGCAGGACCACGGGAGAGCATCCCCCAGCCAGAGGCATTCCCAGCCCAGGGCATCACCGTTCCTGCCTCACCCCGTGCTCTATCCCGCACAGCTCGGCACCGGCAGCACGAAGCCCTGACCCGCGGGGATGCTCCGGGGGCAGCGCGGGGATGCTCCGGGAGCGCTCCGGGGGAGCCCCGGGACGCGGCGGCTCAGCGGGATTAGCGGCAGACGGACGTGACTGCGAGGCAGTCGCCTGGTGCTAATTAAAGAAAGGATATATTTAGGCACCCGGTTATCCCCTGCATTTCACTTATTTTTAGCTCCCAGTCTGCCAGGCTGGGGTGGCACATGGGGAAGGGCACGGACGCAAGGCGGGATGGATCCAGCCCCGGCAGCAAGGAGGTCACAGCCACATGTCCTGGACGATGCTGAGCCCCTGCGGGGGGAGAAACCTCTGTCCAAACTGGCTGCAAAGGAAGAGAAAGCTTAATTTCCCCCAGAAAGGCAGGAAAATGGGTTTCAGGGAGCAATAGGAGCATCCCTGCTCCATCCCTGCCCCAGATCCATCCAGCTTTTGCTACTACCCACACCCCCAGCTCCAGGAGTTGGAAATGGCCCTTTTTGGAATCACCCAGCAAAAAGCACAGCTGTGCCCAGAGCAGAGGCAGCTCCCTCATTCTCAGAGACCCATCCCTCTGCAGTGGCACTGGCCTGGCAGCAATGCCTCTAGTTCCCATACCTTCTTTCTCTCCAATCCTGCCCCTCAGCACAGCTGGGCTGTGTCCTCGGCACTTGGCTGAGCACCCCATCCACATGGGCCATCAGCGGGTGTGGAACTTCCTTGGGCCTTAAATACCCTGAAAAGAGCAGAGAAACAGCAGGAAGGACAGTGCCCAGCATCCCTGCATCCCTCCTGGGCCAGGACAGCCCATTAGTCCTGTTCATTTCCCCCTTTGCTTCATCCCCACAAGCACTCTGGGGTTTTATATTTGAGGGTTAGGGGTTTTTTCCCCTTTCCAGAGTGAAATATTGATCAGGTCTCTGCTACCCTCCCAGCCCCCACCCCACCACACCTCCTGGCTGCCCTGCTTCCCTCATGGAGTGAAGGGTAGGGTGTGGGAGAAAATCAAAATAATGGGATAATAAATGATTCGGGGAGTTGAAACCCAGCTGAAAGTCAGGCTGCTCTGGCTGGCCTGGGAGGAGGCTTCCCAGCAGGGAAGGTTTGGTTTGAGGCTATTTTTGGAGCTGAACAGCATCCAGGGGTGGCCAAATTTCTTCTTAGGTGGCCCATCAGGTAAAGCCTCTCCCAAAACAGTGAGGCTGGGAAGGTTGGACCATTACTCCATAAATCTGAGATGGAAAAAAAAACCCCACGCCAGTTTCTTTCCTTGGACTGCAGGAGCAGGTGTCCTGCACCCTCCAGTCTGTGGAGAGTGGCCAGGGCTGTGTGAGGTTGTGAGCTCCCATCACCTGGGCTCGCCCTGGTTCCCTGCTGCCCATCAGAATTAGGCAGCCCGTTTGAGCAGGTTTACGATAATCATCAAATAACTCGTTCATTGACAGCGTGTCAGGCTGAGAAGACTGACTGAGCCCTCGTTTGCTGATTGCTAATTAGCTTAACATTCCTAATCCCTCATTAGTGACTATGAAGTAAGCTCTGAAATATGAGGTCAGCCCTAATCAGCATTTAAAATATAAAGCCCACTGGCACATGATGGAGGCTGGAGAGGGGGTGGCTGCAGGCCAGCCCTGGGTGCTTCCATGGTCACAGGAATGAGGCTGCACAGAGCAGAGGCAGACAGGAAGAGTTAAACCCTGCACATCCCCCCAGAGCTCAGCCCCTGCACTCACTGCCCTGGATCCACATGGGAACAGGCAGCAATGTGGGGTGCAACATTTGAGGGGCCCCAGGTTCTTCTCGAGTCCCCAGTGTAATTCCAGCTGTGGCTTCCATTCAGGGCAGGTTGTCTACAGAATCACAGAATATTCCAAGTTGGAAAGGATCCACAAGGACCATGAGTCCCGTTGTTAAGTGAATGGCCCATACAGGGATCAAACCCATCAGCACCATGCCTGACCAACAGTGCACCTGTGCAGGATGCTCTGGCTTTCCCCCAGTTCCCATCTTCAAGATTCCAGGTTAACTGCAGGCAATGGGACTTTCCCCAGAGATTCACCCCCACCCTCTGATCCTGTGGGAAGGAGTCAAATCTTGGCATTGGCAAGTGGGCACCAAAGTGCACTGGGCTGCCACTTCCATGCCATCACTGGGGAGGAAAAAATGGCCCTTAGTTGTTGTGGCTTAATCCTCTGGAAGAATAAACTGTTGTGGACTGAGAGTTACTTATTCCTGGCTGGGGAAACCTCTACAGGAGGGCTGCGGCCATTAAAATAACCCTAATTAAACTCCAGCTAAGCTATGAGCCTTAAAAAAGGAGAAAAATATCTCTGATTCCATGAAAATGTAATTTGAAAAGCCCTTGCACTGAACTCTGCTCATCCAGAGCGATGCTCCCACCTCCAGCAGCACTGCTGGAGGTGTTGCTTGGGATTTGGGCAGTGGGGCAGGACCAGTCCTTGCTCCACACCCGGTGCCCGCAGGGAGCCGGGAGACACGGGATATTTTGAGCATCCTTGGCAGCAGCGAATGAGGATTAGTCCAATTCCCCCAGACAGGAACGTCTCCCCAGCTCTATTTCCAAGGACAGGAATAGCCTTTGAAAGCTTTTCAGTGTGGAGGGCACACACCTGCAAATGGTAAAAGCAAAGATCTGTTTCTGGAAAGGTTTTGGGTGGTGCAGCATCAAGGCTGCCTAAATAAGTGGGTGAAAAAGGGGCCGTGTAGCACCTGCTGGCTCTTGCCCCATGCCTAATCCAAACCCTTGCCAAACCCCTGCCCTTCAGATTTTATTGTGCATCTAATTCCTGAACCCACAGTGTGCAGTTGTGGCCGATCACATCCTCCTCTTGCTCAGCCAAGTTTCACATCTGACAGGTTTTTACTCCTTTTACCCCTTACATGTTTTTACCATCAGGACCCTGCATTAGCAGGGACACAAGACACTATAAACTTATAGACTCAGTGGAGGACGTTTTAGAGTGAAAAGCTTTGGCTTAGCCACACACCTGTCCTGTGGAGCAGAAAATCCCAAACAGCCTGGCAGAGCTACTCCTGTTCCCAGACACTCCACAGGCCATTTTCTGCCCCATCAAGCAGCTGGTTGGGAGCACAGCCACCTCCAGCACTATGGGAAACTGAGGGGAGACCAACCAAGAGACAAACACGAGTTTGGATTTATGTAAAAAAAAAAAAAATTATTTATTTTGGAGGAGGATTTGAACATCGACATGCAGGTACAACATGAATAAAAATTATTGCACCGCTATTATGTGGCAATTGTTCAAGTTTCTAAAAACACAGAAATTCCACACTTTCTCTTATCTAGCTAAGTGCTGAGTGACACGGCTTGGCAGAGCCCAGCACAGGAGGTGCTCTCACAGCCACCTGGATATGGTAATCGAACACAACGTAAACACACACTTCTGTCAAATCTTCTACTAGAAGTACAGAATTATCCTTCACATCCAGTAAGAGAAAACCAGAGAAAGACTTTATCCTCCCCTCTTTGAAAGAAAAACAAAACAAAACAAAAATACTCCAAATCACACCTTAATGCAAGTGTGGCAAACAAACCCACAGGTCACTCCTACCCCTTCCCCCACAAGCGCTCTTTAGTACAGCAGCAGCCAAAGGCCTCCAACATTCAGACCCGGGAGTGGCCAGTACAACGCTAAAGTCTAATATTTACAATAAATATCATCCATTTCTCTTAGTTTGCAACAGTAAGAGACAAAGGGAAAAATAACACTGAGGCACGGGGCAGGGATGCAGGAGCAGAGAGGAGCTGCGGAGGCCAAAGCAGCTGAGGCGCTGCCATCCCAACACGGGCGAGGAGCAGGAGACACATCCAAGCTGACAGAAGGGAAGAGGGAGACAAAGCAGGAAAGCAGCAGATTTGGATGGTGACATGCACGGCTCATTCACCAAACACACACCTCACGCTCGTGACTTCCACCTTGGGCCTGCCTGACTCGGGATCACCCACCACGGGGCAGAGTCAGCACTGGGAACGCGCTCGTGCCCCTCAGACACAGCTTTTCCAGCTTCCCGTTCCTTCCCAACACACTTTGCAAGCTTTTCTTTGAGAAGGTATTTAAGGAGTTTATAGCAGAGCAAGGAATAAGTCTTGGTGTATCTACCTGGCTTATTTATCAAAATTTAAGAGAAAAAGTCTTTTTGCCCAAACTTTTTGCTAAAGTGCGCCGTGTAAATTTGACAGCAGGTAGAACAGGGATGATGGGGCACCTGGCACGCTGAGGGAAACTGCAGAACTGACCAAGAGCAGGGGACACAGGGCTTTACTAGAGTGCTTTCCTGGCAATGCTGTTTGGCTTTGGCTTCCAAAAAACCAGGGATTTTTAATTGCACTGACCACTCTCTGTACCGTAGCTACAAAAGAGGCAACGAAACACATACCTCACCTTTTCTTTGGCCAACACAGGCAAAAGCAGCTAAAGCTGTGACATAGCAAGGGGTTTCACTCCTCCTTTATGCCTAGGAAAGGATAATTCTGCAATTCAGTATAGGAAGCAGTGGCTGCAAAGGCAGGGAGTCAGCAGCTTACAGCTGGTACCGTCCGAGGGTGCCACCCCTGCCCGTGGGGGATGAACCAGGTTACCCAGCCTGGTCACACCATGTCCTCACCTCCTACGAGCAGTGGTCGGTCTCCTCCTCAGGTTTTTTAAACACAGAAGGAAAAGGGGGACCTGCCACCCAGGGAACAGCCAGGTCAGACCACATTCTCACACAACTCCTTAATTTACACAGACACTTCCATCTCGCCAAGGTCAGGTGCTCTCAGGAGATCAGCTTGTCAAGGAGGCTTGTCTTTGTAATTACCGCAGACTCAGGATGCCAAATCCACTTTTCACTATTCCTGTCCATGCCATAATATCCTGCGCTGTTTCTCAACAGTTTTTTAGTAGATCAACCCATCAGGGAGAAAACCAGCCAGGCAAGTACCAGATCCTGCCAAGTCTGTTCCTTACTTGCTATTGCTCTAAATCAGCCCTGAATGATGCTCACCAGCAAGAGCACTTGGAGAGGCTGGAGACACCCAGGACCCTGACAAGGCAGTGGAAATACTGTGGTTTGTAATTGCAAACCAAGTGTATACGAGCAGCCTATGAATTCCAGGGAAAAGAGCAGAGAGACAGCACAGCAGGCTCTGCTCTCAATACCACCACAGCTAGGTTTATTAAGGTGTTACCTGGGAGCATTGAGGCTTTGGTTAGTGTAGTAGCAACACCATACATGTTCACACTGACACACAGAGTAAACACTCATTTAAACATGTTAAAAAAAAAAAGCTCAAACCAAACCAAAACTTGGTCCAGAAATTAAATCCAAGCAGCCAAAATCAAGTATATAATGGGGAGAATCAACTGCTACACAGAAAGAAACAGGGTGAGATTCCAGAGATTTTTTTGAGTTGTGGGTTGTACTGAAATCAGATTGAAAGAGAAGGAGACAATATATTCCTATATAATAAACATACCTGCATTTAGGGGAAGCTAATCAAAACTTCAAGTTCAGAGAAATCCAAGACAGTGAAGGAAGCAGCAGTGTAAGGAAATCAGACCATCAGAGATGGGTTTTAGCCTGGAATACTGTTGCACAGTCATTCTGCTTCTAACAGAGTAAGCCAGTGAGCAGGGAACTATTCCTTGCGGGTGATCCACAGGGAGATCCACTCAGACAAGACTAGGATACAAGCTGAGCACAATCTGGGACAAATGATGGGAGTGTTCATTGAGAGGAACCTTGAACTGGATGAAGAAATGGCTTACAGTGCTACAGGTACCACCACTCGACACATTTATTGGTGCATTATTATTGGTCTAGTCCTCAGCAAGGAGCACTGTCACCCAGAGTCGGTCACACTTAGAGCAAAGCGATGTCTAAACCTAGGAGCAAAGAGTAAGCTTTTAATGCAAAGTGACCTCAGCAGTGGAAATGATCTAGCTATTAAAGCTGAAATCTGTAAATATCACATGTGTTTTGAAGTCTGCTTGCAGCTTGACCACAGAACTCGAGGAGTCTGAATTCTTCATAGGTTTGTTTTTAAAATGGGCAGATTCAGAAAACTCAGCAAGTTTCCCAAGCCCCAGTTCAGAAATGTTAAGGGACACCTTACAATCCCTACCTATTTAGACTCACCAAGAGAAGGAAAAGTCTCCAAAGGTCGTTTTTCATTGAGATAACTTTGCCAGACACACTGGAGAATACGCAACTACAAATTTTCTACTTTAAAACCAACCTACAGGCACCCCTTCCTGGGGTCACTTACTCTGAGGCAGGGTATGAATTGAAGTCAGAGAAAGAAAGATAAAACATCACTAAAATTTTAAAACCAGAGGGAAAAGTTGCCATGTGTCCCACATAGATAAGTAAAAACAATCCCCAAAAAAAGCCAGCTTACGGATTGGAGATTTCTCTTTCTGATAATTCCATTGAAAGAGAGGAATTATTATTTTCTTGTTTTAAAGAGAAGACAGGGCTCTCTCTCTGTCCAGTCTCTCCAGCCAAGTCCTTTGTCTCCACATCTTCTAAGGACACAGGACTGTGAAGACACATGGTGACAAAGAGGTTTTACTTGCACCAAAGAAGGTCTGTAGTTTCAGAATAACTTGCAGACAAGAGTTCTTATTCTTGTCAAGGGACATCAGATTGTAAAACTGGAGCAAAAACTTGACATTTGTGAATTTCAATGGAATTTCAAAGAGAATGTTGAAAAGCAGAAATTTAAAAATAAGCTGCTTTTTTTGCACACAGAATTTTTGGGATGTCAAATGAATGCAGAATTAGAGGGAAAAGCACATCAGGCCCTCAACTCAGGTAAAATAAAAGGCATGTAAGGAAAAAAAAAAAGAAACTAAAGTGTTTCTTAAGCCCTGCTTAAAAGATACCCTGTTCTAAAGAGACCTCAAACAGCAAGCACTACTGTGTACAAAAATAGAATAGCAAGGATGAAAAAACACAAAAAACAGTATGAAAAAAACCCTCCCAAAAATAGATGTACACAAGTTCTATTTTATATTAGTGTATATTACAAAATTCAAACATGCAGTCTCTATTTCGAATGTAGAACACTCCAGTCCATGAGTACCAGCAATGCTGCTATGTTTTCTTTACAGCATCATCATGTGATGGGGGAAAGTCTTGTATTTTTAACTGATTTCCAACCTCTTTGCTTTTTGCTTGTGCCAGAGTCCCTTCTTTACAGGGCCTCGTGCTGCCATCTGGCAGAGGAGATGCTCTCAGAGCTGCTTGTCCAAGAGCATGAGACAGCTCTTTTGATGGAGTGATTTTGCAGCTCCCTGCCAATGCCTCAGACGCTTTAGCACTGCAAAAAAGTGCCTCCTTTTTGACCACCACAGGACATGTTGCCTCCTTGTTGGCCCCCACGGGACACGCTGCCTCCCAGGGCTTTGCTGGGTGTGAGGACTCTGCACAGGACCCGCTCCTCGTGGTCAGACCATCTGTGCTAGAGGGTTTGGCTTTCTCTTGACATTCTCCTACTTCTGAAATTTCCTGCCTTTTTTGTTTCAAATCTCTCTCCTCTTTAGAGGAGGCACCCAAATCCTTTCTCGTTTCCACCTCTCCAGAGCCAGACATACTGAGCTTCAAAGGGCCCAAGACGCTCTGGGCCAGGGGCACTAACTGGGACGCGGAGAGCGCGCGCTCGATGGCACCGGGGATGAGGAGAGGGGAGGACACGGCTCCTGCTGGGCTGGTTTTGCTGGAGGTTAAAGCACCCTCTGCCTGGGACGAGCTGGGCTGCTGCTTGTCAGGGCTAGGACTTCTTTGGGATGTTTCACTGGTGTTCCCAGGAGACAGAAATGAGGGGCTGCGCTGTTCCACAGGCTGAGGTATCTCCTTGAGACCCTTCTCACTGCGGTCTGGGGGGCTCACCGTGACAGGAGTGCTCGTGTTTGCTGTGCACCATGAGGAAAGTGCCAGCAGAGGTTTGGAATCCTGTTTTTTCTGACTGCTTTCTGTTAGCACAGGCTCTTTCAAGTCAAGTTTACCACAGGAGGCCCCAGAAGAATCACCTTCTTCAAGTTCCAGGAGTTTGATAGATGGGCACTGCATATGTTCGGTGAGATCTACTGGTTTTTGAGTACCTGGAGTTCTCCCAAGATCTTTGATTGCTTCAGAAGACCTGTCTTTTGGACCAAAACACTCCAAAGTTTTGTTTTCTGGCAATTTATGCTCCTTTGCAGTTGTTTCTGATTTTAGGAATGGCTTTTCTGAATTGGCTAGTTTTTCTGGAGAAGTTCTTGAGGGGAGCTCTGGTGGGGAGGGGTGCACACTGATTTGCAGTGGCTCTGAAACAGGCTTTGCTTGTTGAGTATTTCCTTTCTGCAAATCTTCTGTACCTTTTGGCTCTTCAGGTAGAAAGGCATCATCTTCAATACTATCCTTGCTCTCCAATTTAGATGAAAACTTATTATCCTCATTAAAAGAATCTGAGCCTTGGTCTCCACTGCCACAGGGCTTGTCCAGCCTTCTCCCATCCTGACTATCTTCCGAACCATCATCTGTTTCATCTTCAGAAGAATCTACTTCCCTGATGGCCTCCTGCTTTTGCAGAGACTCCCTCCTCTCCACCCTGTCCTGCCGAATGGCACCCAGCTTCCGTGAGCCCGGCTTCTGCAGCATCCCCTTCTCTGCCAGCCCCAGTTTGCCGCCTGTTGTTTCGTTGGCAGATTCCTGCAGGCTCTGGAGGCTGGGATCCCGCTGTAACATCTCCTTCTTGAACTCAGAGTGGGAGATATCCAAGCTATGCTTCCGTGAGGAGCCCAGCTTCTTCTCAGAGGAGGACAGAGAGGCAGCCAGCTTCTCGGCCGACTGCACTCTCTTCAGCAAAGGGGACCGAGGGGGCTCAGCACTTTTGGGGCGAGAAATTTGTCTTACCAGTGGTGGAGAGGAGTGTAGTTTTACTGGGAAAGACTGGATAATACTGGAGCTGCCAATTGAGTGTCCTGGCAAAGGAGATGGGGAGCGCTGTGGTGACGTGGACTGTGGGGTTGGTGATGGAGTGTGAGCCAGGGGGGACAGAGGGATGTTTCCTGCAGATTTACGCCTTGGAGATCTGTACTGCCTCTGCAGCTTTGGTGCTAGGCCATGCAGAGAGCTGGGTCGGATGTGTCCAGAGCTGGCTGGAGAATTGGGAACACTGGAACTGGGAGAGCTGCTCTGAGAAGAATTGCCACCAACTTAAAAGAAAAGAAAAGAAAAGAACAAAGAAAAAATACCAAGAAGATTAATACATATTTGGCCATTAAAACAAGTTACTGAAAATAAGTCAAGTCACAATGTCATGTTACCCCAAAACACATCAGTGATATTGAAGGCAACATTGTCAGGCTTCTAATGGAAATTCACATCATTAGCACCCAACACCAGAGCACAGTAAGAAACACTCAGCTATGAGAACACTTTTCTGGGAAAAAACCCCTTTGATCAGACAAACCACGTGTTTCATTGCTATTCTCTGGATGCAAATCTCTTTATTCCAGCAGCTGATTCAATTTTCAAATATGACTCTGCCACACCGTTTTGATTTCTTTTCTCTGAACACAGAAAATGTGTCAAACTACTACGAAAAGATTGCGACTTACAACACACAATTTCATCAAAGTGGAAGGATGCTGTAGTACAGCAGGTGCATTCTTAGAAGGATGTATGGATTTTCATTTTTTAAATGAATCAATGAACAAGAACACATCCTTCCTTAAGTTAATCCACATCACCACTGTCATTTGCTTCTCAAAGAGACCTACTACCTTCTGCTGTGTATTTTATTTCCAAAATTAATCAATCAGCAAAAATCTCCTCCAATATTTTCCTTTCTTGTTTGACTGGATTTTTTGGCTTAGTTTTGTTTTGTTTCACATCTCTTTTTTTTACCTGAGTGTACAGACTCTGGAGTGGATCTGTAGCTCTGGGTTGGTGACCGAGGAGACAGGTTGTGAGTTGGAGAGCCAGGCACACTTTCTCCAGATGACAGAGACCGGTTCAGGGATGATAAACTCCGGCTGGTGTGAAGCAGCGATGCTTGTTTAGTGATCTTCCTCAACAGAGAACTCTTCTTCTTACTGGGGAAGAGCATTCAAAAGGTGTTTACAAGCCCAAATGATTTATTTAGCTTTACTAGCATATTTCAGTCAATTTTTTGTCACAGTAAAAGAGAAAAAAAAGGAAGAAAAGAAGAACTGAAGGACATACCTGCTGATATATGTTACCTGCAAATGGATTTGACAAGATCTCTCTAAGGATCTCGTACATTATCTTGGTTACTCTTTAATTTTAACAGAGAAACATCAAAACAAACCTTTCCTGGCCATCCTTTGTTTTGCTCTTCTTGTTCCTACGAGCCATCTTGGATTTGTAGCTGGCTTTTCGAGCTGGACCAACTTTGATGGATGTGTTCTCAAATGGTGTGGTGGAGATGGACACTTTATTTCCACTCTGTCAGACACAAGACAAAGAGACATTGCTTAAAACATGGTTATTTGAAGCAGATCTGCAGGCAAAGCAGGTAGGCTGCTAGTTTATTGCTGTCTGCCATTTTGCAATCCTTTGTCAAACTCCATTTTTCCCCTCAGCATTTCCACCTATCATTTATTAAGGAATTGCCGAGAGAGAGCCCTCGTTAGTCAGGCTTTCACAAATGATTAGCTCAGACCCCAGCTGGTAGGTAAAGCTTCCCAGAGCAGGCAGAACACAGCATCTGACCTCTCCCATTGAGATCCCAAATGACTCAATTTAATACTTGTAATACTTGGAAACTTGAACAAAGTGATATTCTGTCACCAATCCTATTCCCAGTGCTCTGACTGATGGCAGATGTGAGCATATCAGGCATCTATCATGATGAATCTGCAACACAGAGCATGGCTTGTCTCACTCATGTTAAAAAAATAATAATCCTGACTGCTTCTCTATTTGCAATCCCAAAGATGTCTGTCTCTTGGAACAGTCCAGAACTTCAGGGTTTTTTTTCTGTAAACTGATTCTGTTCAGAGAGGTATCAAGCACAAGTCATTTAACTGGCTAATTTCAACACCAACCAGTACAAAGCTGCTCTTAAACACCACCAGGTGCTGTGTGCACACTTGTATTTCAGACATTGCCAATTACATACAATTTAAGCAAGCTGCTCGTGTTTTCCAAAATGTCACAGCGCTGAGCCCCTACCTTCAGAATCAGCTCCACCACTTCGGTGTGCACCAGCCCGTGCACCGGCTCCCCGTTGACGTGGGTGATCAGATCCCCTTCCCGCAGACCGGCTTCGTTTGCTGGACCCCCTTCCTCCACGTGCTGCCAACAACAAGGGGTGACTGGTTTGAGAAGGGGAATGTGCAAGGCCACTGGCCCAGATGGGACTCAAAGCCCATCCCTGTCACTTCCTACCACAGTCAGTGCCAGCTGCTTCTAAGAAGGCGGAAAGAAATCACCCCTGGCATGGCCAAGCACAAAACCCTGCGCTCTTCCACTCCTCCCCAGCATCCCTCCAGTCTTATCCCGATCCAAGGCAGCCAGGATGGTTAAGCTGATTGAGAGGCTAGCTCTTCCCAAAGCAAAAAGCTTAACACACTTCCAAAAATTTTACAGCACTTAGGAATGTTACCCAGATGCTCCTGATTTCCAGATAAACATTCAGTCTCTTTCAATTTCTTTGCCATCCCAAATCCAGCATCCTTCCTTGTACATGCTGGAACAAAGGTGGCCAACAGATTTCTAAGGAAGACTCTGCCATGTGTTTAAGGTGCCTATATTGCATTTCGTCCCAAACAGAGTTTCTTTTTCTACTTTCCATCCTTTATTAACCTGTCCAAGATCAGACTTTCCCTCTGTGAACATACTGCCTTTCCCCTGTCCCTCGTCAGGAATTTAAGCCTCCTTCACCATGAGGAGACAGATGTGCAGGGGAATGCACATCTCTCCCTCTAGCCAGGAAAGATTCCAAATGAGTATCTTAATAAACTCAGCATTGCTCAAGAAGAGCAAGGGAGGGGCAAGGCAAAAATCCAGTTTCAGGTTATTTCTCTCAGAATGAATGTTAAATAAGGACTAAAGGGTGTGAAGTCCGTATTGTCTAATGGACACAGAAGTGCAAGGAAAAGAATGAATCACCTTTACCCTGACTGCATTCTCCCTACCTACACAATCCTAACAACACTGCCTCAGGGAACGGATCACTCACAGAAGTCATCTACACTAACACCAAAGGAACACAGAGATCAAGTACCAGCAGCAGTGGGAAGGAAGCGATACAGACATGGAAACCAGACCTTTTAGCACGGCTCACAACTAAGCCAAGAGCTAAATCCCATGGCAATCAGCATAGCAGCAGCAATGCTTTAAGGCTTGTAATCAATTCCAAGCGACTGCTTGGAAAACCCCAGCAGACTGAACTGATCAGAAGCAGGTTATAATCACTAACACAAGCCTGAATAAATTAACTCTAATGGGCCCTCATGCAACAACCCCAATAAAGAGAAAGAGGGTATGTACACAGAAACATGCTTTAAAGGATGTGCTGCAGGTGAAAGGTGGATTCATGTAACCAGGGAAAAAAGAAGGAAAGAAAGGTTGCTGTGGTTCTGTGATGGGCTTGAAAACTATTGGAAAACCCAAAATGCTGTTATTTATTTATCTAGGGTTCCCCCCATCAAAAAGATAACTTTGGGTGTGATTAAGGAGAGAGAAAACAAGGTGGCAAAACACAATCCCTAAAGATAAACCCCACACCCCTGGCTAGATTTGTGGCCCCGAGGGTCCTGTTTCCAGAAAAGCAGAGACCTACCCAGACCATGTGATGCACAGTGTAGATATCACTGTCACCCATATAGACGCGAATGGCGCGCAGAGTGAAACCGTATTTCTTTCCAGCCCGATGGATGATGATTGGTGGTTTCAGGTTTGCGATAGCAGGAGAAAAGTCGCGGCTGGGTGAGGAGTCCCTCGAAGATGGGTTGGAGGAGAGAGAATGAGGTGACATTGGACTGGCCAATGGAGAACACGTGTGGTGATCTACAGTGATGACATAAAGGTGGGCAAAAATTAGGAAAACAGGACTCCGAAAGAGAGAAAATTCTTGTTAGAGAACAGCCACGAAACTGTATCTTCTAATAAGGTCTTAAAGCTGGTGGCCTTTACCAGAGCTGAGTCTGTCTGCAGCTTCAACTAATTCATGCTTTGTAATACAAACAACAGAGTTTCCAAAAAGGCACATTTGGAGGTGTACATTTAGTGCACTACTCATACAGAGTTATGGTTGGGTCACAGTGTTCTGTACTTCTCTTTCCAGGATTTACAACCCATCATGAGCATTCGCTCTAAACACAGTCCTGCAACAGCCCATTTCCAGGTTATCATGTATTATCCTCCTCCAGAAGATCAGATGTCTCTAGCTCTTGGTGCAAGTTACACCTTGGTGCTGAGATAAATCCATATCAGTTAGCATTAACACAAAAGGAATGAGTAGGTGATCATAACAACTATGTCTAGGCAGTTTTGATAGTGTTTTAAATTCACAAGGGCAAAAATATCTAAAATATTAGCTACTGCAGCGACTTTGCTACTGAAAAGCAACATCACAAGTTACTTTCGAGTGAGTTTCCCAAATGAAAAGCCATGAGCTGGGCTGCCAGATAAACTACCTGACTCTGCTTGCTTGTGCCACAACATCCACTTTTTAAAGTACAAAGCAAATACAGAACTCTCATTTTAAAGTGAAGCTGGTCAACATCAGTAAAATAAACCCAAAGAGCAGGAATACTAAATGCAGCTGTAGAAGGTAATCTCTAATCCATTAAGAAACACCTGCTGAATTGCCCAGCACATATTTACCTGGCAGATGAGAGCAGCTCTGGAGAAACCTTTGTTGGGTAATTAAATTCACATTTTAGAGGTTTGCATGAGGGAGTTCATAGTTCAAAAAGCAACCGATGCCCAAAGCACAAGAAATGTGATGTGCATCACCACAATGCTGCCAGGAGCAGGTGCATTCCTGCCTCCAGCTCACTGCTAGGAGGAACAGGTGAGCATTGCTCATGGCCCAGCTGCATTCCCTGCTCCCATCCAGGCAGGAACAGGCACAGCCCTGGAAATACAGCATGATCTTATCCTCTGGAAAGGGACAAAAACCCCTGTGGGAAGAAACTGCTTCTGCTGAACCAGTCTGTCACAGCTCATGTGAATGGATGAGCTGCTCACCTGGCATTGGGAATTGTAAAGGTCTGGTTTTGCTTGTAGACAGAGCCGAGCCAAGAAGGTGAGCAGTTCAGCATTGACTAAGTGAGTTACTTACACTGTTCAGTTCTTGAGCACTCAATCTCAACCAAGTTATCTGGAGTTTCTGAAACTTCCTGGTGCATAAATGCACCGGACACATTTAATTCCCAAACAGCGCTACAGTTAGCATGTGACCCCAAAAAACAGCACCTTGAGGGTTAAAATCATTTTGTGTCTCTATACCTCCTTGCTGCACTATTGTCTAGAGACCAGCTAGGAGTCAATTGAAACAAAACCAGGGAAAGAACAGGGCCCAGCTGCCATTTGCAGAAGCTGCAGTCAGACCACACGCACAGAGCTGCTGTCTGTGGCACAGCAGTGCTCATCAACCTGTGAGCAGGAAATATTAATCCGATTGTAAAAGTTAGCTCTCTCCCCTCCTGCCTGCCAAAGCATTATTCCAGGAGAATGAAGGGGGAGGATCTGTCTGCAGACCTTTTGTTTAGTGCTTGCAGATTCTGACAATGCCTCACTCAAGGCATTTCTTACCTGAGGGAATCAGGAGAGACAAGGCAGTAGCAGATGCTGATTTAATCACTTTATTGACAGGTCTCGAGGTACGTTTCTCCCCTGATTCCCCAGAGAGCAACCTGTGTCGTGCCCGCCGCACTGCCAAATCGCTGATGGCTTTTGGAGTGGTAAAGTCTGGGCCTTCATTGCTATTACTGCGAGCTCGTGGATCAGAGAAATCTGCAGTGCTCCCAGCTACAGTTTAAATTAAAACAGATTAGAACCACAGGGAATTCCTAACAGTCTATTCCCCTACAGGCAAAATACATTAAATCAAAGTCATGTTTACATGAAGTCCAAGAGTAAATTTTCCTAAGAAGAAACCCCAGGGCTTGAATTTTTATTTACAGAAATGGTGTTATTCCGAACACAGAAAATTAGCAGCTTCTATTCTGTGGAAATGCTCGCTAATGAAATCACATTGCTCAGTGGCAGTTCCATGAATCCTAAAGCCGTGGTGCACTTCTGCACACCATTTCAATGGGATCGTTCACAGATGAAAACGGGTTTATAGAAAGTACTGAATTTTTACAACCAGCAAGAACTGTCAATCTTTAAGTTAAAACTGCCTGTAATAGAAGAGCCAAGTTCTACTGGAGTTGCACATAGAAAATCCACTTTAAGAGATTATGAAGGTACTCAAGTCAGGGAAAGTAAAAATGTGGATTGCAAAGACAACCTTAATTTGGCCCCTTCTCTGCACCATTGCAATTTAGTCTTGAATTACTAAACCTGCCACAATTATATATAAAATGTAATCTTGGAGATCAGACTGGGCATGTAACAGCAGCAGATGCTGGGGGTTGGGGGTCCTGCACTCAAGGCCAGTGCCTCAGTCCCCCATGTGATACCTTAAAGGGGCACTGTGAAAATACAGTAATTAGAATTTACAAGGTGCTTAGAAATGAAAATGGTGAGCATCACAGCAACTCCACAAGGGAAATTAATCATTCTGTCTTCAAAAGCAAATTTTAAGCAGCATGCAATAAATAAAGCCTAAGGGCCACATTTTGAACAATGAGGACAGAACAAAACATTGATCATCGTTATTTAAGTGGGCAGCACTGTTCTGCATACTAAGTGAAGCAGGAAGTATCATGAAAATAAAAATTCAAAGCATTATTCCCATAGACCTCAGGACCAGATGCTTGTTCAACACTTAAGAGGCACAGAGTTTCAAACCAGGTTCCCAGACAATGAGGAACCCAGATTTGGAGGCTGCATGGGAAAAGGTGCCATATAAATTAGAGGAGCAGTCTGAGACAGTGACAGGAATTAAACTCCTTTCAAGCCTCTGACTTGGGGACACTGAAGCATTGGTATCCCTGGATTCCATGCACTAGATCAAAGACTGCTCTAATGTATTGAGCTCAGGGGAGCAGGCTGCCCAGGAGAACTTTATTTTTTCCAATCTCACACTGCAGAGACTCAAATCAGCAATAGAAGTGTTCTTGCCATTTTTAATAGCATGTTTCTAGGCTCAGCATGAAATTGAGAGCCCAAGGTTTCACTTATGGCACCTATGCCAAGCAAGAATGAGGCAGCTTCCTTCCTTTACCCTTGCATCCCTTCTTAACATGATGGCAACACCAGGCCTCTTTAGAGAGCATGGGGAATGAAGGGGAATGGGACAATTTTGAAGGAATTTCACAGACTGGATTGCAGAAGAGGAATAATAATATGTGGGACTCTTTGGCTTTACTCTGGAGGGCATCTCCACCTTCTGCTATCAGTCCCCCATCACATCTGCCCAGTGCACTCCACCTTGTCCATTCTTGCTGCCATTCTGACTACTTCCTCAGTACCCCTTTCCTCTCCATTCTCAATGCATCACAATTGCTCTGCCTGCTTGCTCCCAGTTTGTCCCAGCAATTTGTTCCTTATTTTCTTACCCAGTTAGTCCTTGTTATTCAACCCTACAATCTAGTCCTTCCCCTAATTATGATGTCTTTCTCAAATTTTCTTTTGCCAACCTTCATTTCAACTTCCTCTCTTTCTTCCATTGTTCCAAACTTCCTTTTTTCCCCCTTCCTTACTACTTCACAGTAGTTCCCAGAACTCTGTTCTCAGAACAGGCAGCTTCACCCCCTTGTCTTCCCAATGCCCCGAAAGGGGCAGGAGCTGGGAACACTCCAGCGCCCAGAGCTCAGTCCTGCACTGCAGCAGCCCAGGGCACCACCATAGGAAGGTTCAGCTCAGCCCAGAGCTGGAGAAAAGTCCCAGAACAGTCGAAGTTGCTGAGAAATCAAACACTGACTTCTAAGAGCCACTCTACTAAATTTAGGCTGCACTTTTCTGAGCTACAACTGGATGAATTTCAGTGTATTTGGCTGTTAAAATAAATGGCGTGTCCCTGACACAAGCCCCACTTCTCCAGCATATTTCAAGTCTCTCCAAACTCTTGAGCAAAACCACAGGAAGCAGGGATCTGTTGGTATGGCTGACACCCACATTCTCCAGCTCCAACTCAGCAGTGATCTGTTCTGATTAATGCCTAAATTAATGCAATCTCAGGTAGGCACCCAGTGGTTGTCAGCAGGCACAGATCATATGAATCTCAAACATGAGAAGACCTAAATCAATTTGAAGTAGCATGACTGAAATCTGAGATGCAACTTTGAGGAGATGAAACCACTGGCATTATTTCAAAGGCAAGCACATCCACAAAACTACACTAAAATACCTACTTAGCATGAGACGCTCACTGACACTCACATCCCCTGACACCCAGAGCCAGTTTTAGAGAGTTTATCTCTGCAAGGCAACACGGGGAGCAGGACACCCCCATGCAAGCACGTACCTGTCAGCGCTGAGGTGCTGCCGGCGGCCGTGGAAGGGGTGGTGGCTCCAGCATCTCCTTCCAGCTGCAGCTCGTGCTCCACAGGCTGTTCTGGAATGGGCAGGGGCAGTCCTTCCCGCGCCTGCACCGTGCACAGCAGCATCCCCTCGGACTGGGGCCGTTTGAGGGCGGCCCCCTCGTCCTCGGCGGAGATGGCGAAGCGCGGCATGTCCAGCAGCCCCGAGCAGCGGCGCCGCACCGTCAGCGGCGGGCTGGAGTCGCTCTCCGTGTGCGAGGACTCGGACATGGACAGGCGCTTGCGCAGGCTGGGGGCAGAACCAGACAGGGCCCAGGTCAGTCAAGGCACGATCAACTTGGAAGGGTGAAAATAAGGCGCAGACACAGCTCATGTGTCTAAAACCAATTCAAGGTGAAGTTTGGTGGCCAAGCTACAACATTGGGAGTTAAAACAACAAAAGCTTGGGGCATCACCTGAGTTTAGATTTCCAGCTGTTCTAGGAAAGGAAGGGATAAACCCGAAGAAAAATATAGTACAATGAACATGTTTATTAAATATTACTTTAAAAAAATCACAACTGTAAAATGCAAATCATCCTCTACGTTCCTTTTGGAATTAGTTGAATTTTTCTTTCGAAGTTGCTCTAAATTAGAAACCAGGAAGGCCTAATGCAAAATGAAGTGCACCTCAAGTTATGAGTGCATCTGCAAAACGTTTTTAAGGGAGTCATACAGGCTAGGTCAGAAACACATTTTATGCTCTTTCTAATGCCCAACATTAGTGTAAAGGTTTTACAGGGGTTGCACAAAATTACAGACATCCCTTTTATACAGTAAGTTCTCAGTAATGCCAGAAACATGGCAGGTATCCAAACTGTGGGTATTCATATATTTTACTGACATTTTTTATTAGAGCACAAGATTTTTCGGGCATATTCTGAACTTTTGAAACTTTGAACTTTCCTAACAATTTCTCCACTTTGTAACAAAAGGTCAAAGTCTGGCGACACCAGAATTTGCATTAATTTAAGAGACAAACTGATGTGGGTACATGTCTGACATAACATACAAAATCTGCCCTTAAGGTTAGAATATCTTTAAATTAATTAAAAGGATTTGCTATGGATTTAGAAGACGTTAGTACTTAACTAGATACATTTAAGGACTGTATAGGTTCTACACATTACCTTTTAGCTATTCAACCCAGGCTTCTCTTGTAGAAATACAACATAAGAAGCTCTCCTCACCAACTACTGGTCATAGAAAGTTTTGGCTGGTCTTTTTAGCTGCTGTGGGAAAACAGAAGACTCAGTTGCACAGAACTCACATTTCAGGAGAGCCAATGACCCAGCTGCGGTCCCGGCTCTTCAAGCCCCCCAGGCTGTCAAGCCGATCATCCTTCTCCTCGCTCAGGCTCCGCTTGGTTGGTGGTGGAGTCTTCCTCTCCTCGTGGATGGAAAGTCGTTCCATGCTGCTGTACACCTGCGTGCAGCAAAAGATCCTTCTGTGCAGGGAAAACCAACCCACGGGGTTTTTTCTGAGCAAGGGGGAAAATCTCCTCTTGAAATTCCCCCTGAAAGCCTGAACTTGGCAAAGTTCTTTGAGCAAATAACACAGCACAGGTGTGACAGGCTCAAGGTGTGCCAGGGAGGAAAGGAAAAAGGCCCAGCCTCAGAAACACTAAAATGGTTTTCTACAACAGCACCCGATGCCTCTCCTTTGAAAACACAACAGGAATACTGACAAACTTCATGACATTTCTTTGATTTTTGGTTTTCACGATTCTCAAATCTAAGAGGAGCTACTGCTAAAGACAGCTGCACAACTCTTGAGGGCTGGCATCTGGATCTTGAAATCTTACTACACAAATTCACTTCAGTGATAGGCATCATGCTCATGACCCCATTTCATTATCAGTCTATCAGCATTGCCCCAAGCTTATTTCAGAACAAAAAAGTCCTGCCCTCCTCAAGGAATCTACTATAATGCTGACAGCTTAATGAAAGTGCCTTTCTTAGTTTTACAGCCGTCTTTAAATAATTAAATGATTAAGCAAAAAAATCCATCCTTTTAAAACTACACTTGACTGTGGACCTAATTTACATAAGAAGAGATTAATGAAAATAATGTTATTAAAAATTCAGAGCATCAACAAGATAACTATTAATAAATCATATGGCTGAATTGTCAGACAAGAATTTCAAAATATAATGAGCCTTTTATGCCTCCCACATTACAAATGCTGTATAATTTTCCAGGTCTTAAAATAAATTCATTAAAAGTGAACTTTCTCTTTTTGTGGCAAAAACATTGAACCCTAAAGAAAAGCTTCAGTCTAACAAATGAGTAATACTCATGGTGAGAAAAGGGAGAGAAAAGAAACTCTTACGTACTCTTGAGAACTTTTTCAAAACACCAACTAATCCTCAGGTCCAATTTTAAACATACTTTTAGTGATGCAAATCAGGAGCAACTCCACAAAATTAAGAGTAACTGTTATTTAAACCACTGTAGACTGGTTGAGGACAAAGAACAAACTGGTCCTTAAAAACTGACTTCAGCAGTGGAAAACTGGAGGAACTGTTGTGAAAAACTGAAATACCTTTCAGAACTCCTAAGTAAAATTCCTACTCCCATCTCACTAAGAGGGAAACACAATTCATGAAGTGGCTGCCTCAAAACAGCATTTCTTCTCCCTTCTGCCCCTCCCAAATATATTATATTTTATCAGGAAGACCAATGTAGTTCTTTCCTTCTAGTTATGTATTTTAAAACACAGAGGTTTTATGTTTTGTATAACTCAGGTAATTCTTGCTGTTTTTCTCTGGACTCCCTTTTAATCATCCAATGTTAATTTTCAAGAACATTGCCCAGTATATATATATATATATTACGATATATTACTGGGCTTAATTTTCAAGCCCAGTATGGAAAATTATTCCTTCAATTATTTGACACATCTAATTTATGAAGGACTATGTGCTGAGACCCTTCTCTTTGAAATTGTCACCTTGCCTTTTGCTCCTCAGGTTTGATATGAGACAGTGAGTGATATAAATTTCACTGTTCTTATCCCTTTGATTGTAGACCCTTATTCCAAATGTCAGAATCGATTTTCATCCCAAGACCATCTTGTCACTATGGAAGGTCCTTTCAGAAGGACACTGCTCAAAGCAAGTACATTTTGGACAGTCCCTGTGCCAGCATCCAGGTCATTGGTAAAAACATCAGACTGTATCAGATGCAGAAGAGAACTACACAATGCCCTGCATATTGGTGAAATATTAAGAAATATAAAATGTCACTCTCCAATTATTCTGGTACTCACCTTCTAACAGGCCACAAACTACCACAGAATAAACAACTTATGCAGTGGTTTTTTTCTCCCTTATTGAATACTACACACCATGAGACCCCACAGAGCATCCACATGATGAAAATCTGCCCCATATGAAGCAAAGAAACTGTGTTCCTTTCTAGATTGTTTTCTTTCAACAAGTTTGCATGTCCCTACCTTGCTGAACCTGGGCGAGCAGGAGGAAAACTGCCGAATTTCCACGTGATCATCATCATTAGTGTCCTCCTCTTCTTCTGAATCCAGGTGCTGGTACCGTTCTGAACGGGCTGGGAACAAGACAAGGCACTTGCATCAGTGTGGGGAGTGTTGGTAACTCACACCTCAAGCATTGGTACTGGCCTGCTTAAAGAACCTGGAATGTTTACACATCATGCAGGGTATTTCCCTTAGTACTGAAACATGCCCAGCCAGTTTTTGCTCATCCCATGCGATTGCCAGTGAAGAATTATCTCCTTGGCACTGAATTTATCTTATCCTGTCAGCTGTAATCCATTCTGGAAGCAGCTGATACTCAAAAGGTGTCTAATCCTGCAGACCCTTCATGATAGGGATATTTCTTCCCTACAGCAAGCAATCACATGGAAGGAAACATGGAAACAATTCACTGTCCAACTTTCCAATAGACAGCTTTTTGATTATACAAAGTCTGTCCTGCATACATACATACAAGCCTACTTAAAAAAAAAAAAAGAAAAAAAAAAAAGTATTTACCCCAAAAGAAAATCTCCTCTTTTCCCTCTTGCAGCTAGGAAAAGGATTAGATTTTGTGAAAGAAAATGGGCAAGTAGCCAATATGCAAAGCTATTTTTAATGCAAAAACTTCTTCCAAAGAGATTTTGTGCTTTTAGATTTGCAGCACCGGATTTCTAAGCCAGCCACACTGGATTTTGTGGGGTTGCCACTAATAAGTTTGGCTACAGAGTGCTGATAATTATACAGCCAAATTTGCTGCACCACATCAGCTACTTTTATAAATTCTAACATTTTCTGCATTAAGGTTTATAACAGCAACACCACCTCCTATCAGTGTCTATGTGAGATATTTCCTGATGTGAGAATTCCACCCTTTATAAAGGACTCACATCAAGGTCACCCTGATACCGAGTGTGCCAGGGCATGTGGGGAGTTTCCCATGGTTCTGACAGACCCAGTGGTTTTGCTTTTATCCAGCAGGATCTGCTCGTGGCTGCTGCACTGGGCCTCTGCCAGTCTCTGACCCAACTCAGTGACCAAAGTTCCCACATCCTGTAAGTCCAGTTAGTGGTGAGAACAGCCCACCACATCAGTTTCTGCATGTTTGTTGTACCAGTACAACCTCAATAGATGCAGAAACCCCACCTCTGCCCTCTCTGCACAGCTTGAATCCAGCTGCTCTCTGCAGCAACCACACAGAGATTTCTCAATCCATCTCTCTCTCCCAATCCTACCTCTCCAAGGAAGCCTCAGCCTAAAAGCCCCTTCCCCAGACTGGAAGAGCACTATCTAAATGGAATCACTGCTTGTGCAGTGGGAGAGCCAAGGGGCTGGAAGCAGCTGCTCTCTCCCTCTTTTCACTCTCAGCAAAACACAGGAGCAGAGCAAAAATGTGCTTCACACAGATTCAAGCAGTCCCATGGCCCCAAGACAGCAGAAATTCCATCGATGTAGAGCAGAAATTTCCATATCTCAGGGACCTGAAAAAGCAAGTTTCTGCAGCTGGAGAGGGCGAAAGACCTCACCTTGACCAAGCCCCTTCCACCTGCTCAGCTCCTCAAGTCAAATGAGGGAAGTTAGGGAGCAGAGGCTCTGGGAAGAGAGATCTCTCCATCCCTCCTGCGACGCTTCTCCCTTCTCTCCCAAGAGCACTGACTCTGTCTGGTGCTTATCTTGAAATACCAAAAATCTTACACAGCACTGATACCATGGCAGTTCCCAGACATTTATACACACCAGACAAACATTTCATATCTCATTAGAGCTAGTAATACTAAAATAAAACGATACACTTGCAGTGAAAATAATTCAAATTACTTCAAATCTCTTAAGAATTTTCCCCACATACTTGTCTTCAAGGTCCAGGGTTTGTTTTGGGGTTTTTTTTAAACACTTATTGGCTGAAAACAGTCACTCGGGAAAGATCATGTTGCTCAAAAACTCAAGGAATTTGGATTTACCAAATGCTTTGGAAGAAGTTTAATGAACCCAGCATGACAATGGCAGCACCTCTCGCTGCAGGCCCATGGCTGGCAGGACCACAGGCACCAGTGAAAGGCCAACTGACTCCAGCAGCAACATTTTTTCATTTAAAATTAATTTGCCTTCAAAGAAACCTCACTTGGCATTCAACATAAACTTTTTAAAGCAATTCCCATCAAGCATTTTATTCAATTTCTAAAATTACTTATCTTACTTATCTCCAACAATTTCAAAAATGAAATATACACAAGAAATATGATGCTGTTTAGGCCAAATCTCGAGTCTTACTGTCAAAATAACTTGTGTCATCCTCAGATTCCAGCTGTGGGATGAATTCAGCTTTCTGCCGGAGTAATCCATTCCAGTCCAGATCTTTAAAGAACCGATGCTGCTTCACTTCAAAGGCACTACCTGAAATAAGAACCTTTTATTGCAGAGTATTTCTTTCAGCATTTGCATAACCTGAAAAACAAACCCTAAAAACATCAAGAGCCTAAGAGAATGTACTTGAGTATTTTTAAGTCACACATTTTCCAGGAATTTTGAGAAATAACTTATCCTTTTACCAAAGTGGTCATGCAGGATAAAACCTGAACAAGATTTCCTCCTTCCCACCTCCTCTTCCTGCTTAGCAACAACACAGATGCTGGAAGACAGCATCTGCTGTTGCATTCCACAGTGAGTTGCAAGATTAAGAACACCTTAATTTAAAATTTTCAAACTCTAAACACCATCTTGTTCATAACTGAATAAAGAGAGTAAACTCTGAGAGGCATTTAGAATGTGAGTGACAATTCACAACTCCACTGCTGTGAATAAACTCATTCATGTGCCTAGAACAAGACAGGGCTCACCTATCTTTCTGAATTAGTATCTATTGTTATTAAGCTCAGAAGCTTCGGTACCCAGAAGGAAAAAGTAAAGACTATCTGTCTACCAGCTTATGCTTTTTTTTTTTCAAATGAAATTAATATTCATAGAAGATGCTACTGTCTTTTTTAGAAAAGAAAAGAGCAGAGGAAAAGAGATAAAAGGTTTGCTGAGTGCCAGTGGCACTACAACATGCCAAGTGTAACAGCAGTCTCAGCAGTACAGGTATATAAGAAATCAAAAAAAAAATCAGTCCCTCAACTCCTTTTATAAGGTAGAAACCCTACATCTTTTCCATGACAGCAACATCTTTCAAGTACATGGATTTTAAGTAGAGAAGAACATGTGAAAACCATCTGATATCATTATTAATTCATGATCTATTCATCACCCTTGTGTGCACGTGTGCCAAGTCTGCTGAATACATGTACCTTTTGGAATTGTTATATATTTATCCCTAAGCTTTTTTTTATTCTTAAAGTGTAGTTTTGAATTGAAAATCCCGAATTAAATTAAACTACTCAAATCAATGAAAGATGAGCTGTCATGGGAAGCCACAGTGTTGCACAAATTACTTTAAAACAAGAGCATAGCTAGAGATTATTTATGATTATATACTATGAGGAAATGAGAAGTGTTGGCTTGTAAAACTTCCAATCTGACATTATAACACAGAAAGACTGACATACATATCTGACTTTGCCAAAAAGATTATCAGACTTTGGTGTATGTTTGAAGAATTCTATACTACAGGCCTCTAGGAATGGAAAAGTTTTCATTTACTTTATTACACCCAGGAATTCACATCCATGGCAGGGATTAAGCTCCTACTCAAAAAGAACTTCAAAGAAATCTGATTATACTCCGTTCAAATGCAGACACAACCCTCAAGACTATAATGGAACAGCACAAATCAGAGAAGTTATGTTGCCAAGCTGACAGTGCCCCTTTCCTGTTTCCCAGCCAGGACAGTAAAATCTGGCTGGCTCATGGACATGTGACAGTAATTCCCAGAGCTCCACCAAACTGAATCCAGTATAAACTGCTCCCCAGCTCTAGATGAGCATTCCTCAACACGAGCTGGTGTGCATCACTGGCAAGGCAGCTTCACCCCCTGCTTCTGGGCATGTTTTCCTGTGCACAAGGCTCTTACCTGTTCCCATTCTTTCCAGAGGATTTTGGCGGAGAAGCTTAGAAATGAGGTCCTGGGCATCTGGGGGCAGTGCATCATCTCCTTCTGGCCAGGCAATTTCATCTGGGGACAAAAAGAGACTTGACATTTTCTACCAGCTTCCCAACTAATTTGAATAACCATTCACACTCCTATACCTCAAAGTGCAGCGTTGAGAACTGCCCCAGAAGCATAAATACCTTGAATTCAGCAGCTTAATATAATTCAAGCATTGATATTTTCCAAAATGCATAAAATTCAGCATCAGCTAGAGCTGCTGTCAATCCAAGCAGTGCTTGCGGAGACAATAAAAAAAAGCTTTAAGGACTCTATTAATAAAGTATGAAATGGGACTTCCACGACAATCCATAAACAGACAGTGACAATACTGTGGCTGTATCTCCTGCCTGCACATTCCAGAGTCGTTATACTTGGAACAGAAAGAACAATTCACAGGTAACAATTTCATGCATCATATTTAGTGCTTTGATGAAATTTTCTTTTTACAAAGGACATTTGCCAAGTGTATTAAAAATGTACTGCTTCAGAAAGCATTCCCAATAGAAAATTATTTCACTGGTATATTCACTGAGTGAACACAAAGCAATTGTCTGTCTAACTCCAACCATGAGACAGGTTTAAAAAGCCACAAGATGTGAAGGTACTGAGTACAACAACTTCAATGTATGTGCTCAGAATTTCCTTTCATTTCACTTTACAAAATTACAGATTATAAATACAAAATTACTAATTGACTAGCATTTGGACCTACAAAAACAATAACCAAAATCAGCCTGAATTAGACCAGTTGGTGGTTACTCCTTTCAAATTCTCCATCATTTAAGTTAAAAGACAGAAAAGAAAAACCCCCAAATATTTTTCCTCAATCACACAAGGATTTGTATGACTCCCACACCATGCAGAACTATTTAGGAAGATGTTAAGCAACACAAGTTTCCATAGTTGAAATCAGATGGAAGCTGCTTTGAGACAGAAATTCAGAAATACTAAAATTAAACCCCATTATTTATACCTAGTCCTTCCTGACTAAACTGTGGACCCTCAATATTTTCACAGCACATCTTGAAATCCCTTCAGAGCCAGAGCAGAAACTTACCACTGATCACTTGTCCAAAGAGCTCTTCAGGTGTGTCCCCAAAGAAAGGAACACAGCCCACCAGGAACTCGTAGAGGATGATTCCCATGGCCCACCAGTCCACGGGCTTCCCATAGCCCTGGCGCAGGATCACTTCTGGTGCAATGTACTCTGGAGTCCCACAGACCTCAAGAGAAACATGCAAGAAAGCAATAAATTTACAAATTGCCAAATGCATGTCAAAGCTTATTTTGTCTTCTTTTTTCATTTTTTCCCCTTTCTTTCCCCCCTCAGAGCTTTAAAAGGAAGTTATTAATGTTTTGCCACTAACCACTTCATGCTGTGGAGTACTCCCATGAAGCAAGAGTCTATATTTGAAGAAGACATTGCCTGCATAGAAATAACATGAAATTAAATGTTCCTAGTGTGGACATGCCAGCTAAGTAGCTCCTTGGTGCATGCACAGGAAAGCATATGGGAAAAATGCATATCCTGTGTGTTTAGGTCTGACAGCTTGATGGATGTCTGCTGGCACAGCTACAGCTATCAGGAACTGAGTTTTGACAAACCTCTCACATCTCTCTGCTAACAGAATTTAGTTTCACAGATGCAGAATTAGCAGCACAGCATGATTACACACTTCAGCCTTAATCTTGGGAGGTACAGCTGGCATGGACAATGCATAAGGAAATTACCTTGGAAGATCTAAGTTGCCTGGGGCTTAGAAACAGCAACAGCAATAACAAAATAGTTGCAAAAAATGTACCACGGTAAAGTGCAAGAATATGATCTAATGGCCTACGAGAGTTCTGTTAGAAAAAGCATCCCTACTCAGAAGACAACAAGAAGACAACACCACAGGATAATTATGAATCAACACTTGGCACAAATAAAAATTCAGCTGAAAAATTCAGCTGTGATCCTAGGTATTTTCAGAAGAGAGAAGCATTTTTAATCCCATTGTACAAGGCACCGGTGAGCCTGCATCCAGAACAGTTCCTTCAACCATGTCCAGAAAATATCAGCTCAGAAAGACTTACATGGAAGAGCTATTCATTCATCAAAGGAAAATCTATCTTGTTAGCTACAAGAATTTAGCTGGTTAAGCCTAGTAAAATGAAGGCTAAGGAGAAAAATGACCCTTAGTAAATATCATCAATGTTTAAGCTGTTAGACAAAATTACAAGAAACATATAGAAACTTGCCATGAACTTTCTAAGCACCAGAAGGGGGAGATCGTGGAACAACCTTCTGCAAAATCTACGTTACATCCCTAAACCAACTTCTGCTTACACTTCTGCATTGCTGCCTGGGCCACCCTTTCAGCACCCTAAACTAAGAGCTGAAGTTCACGACTCCAAAACAAGAAGCTGAAATCACAAACTATGCCAATTTATGTACAAATATAAGAATGGACTTGTGTCTTTTCCTTCCATTCTACAGTGCACAGCACAGCATCAAGGCAGAGAAGGAGTGCTACTAACTCTGATTCTATCCCATGACAGAATCCTGCATCTGATCCCACATCAACAAACAAAATTTTTCAGCTTACCTGCTTGTCCAGGAATTCCCTGGTATCCTTCTCAATGTGGCCCTCATAAAGATTAGTTGTAAGACTCATTAACCCAATTTTGGACAGTCCAAAGTCTGTTAGTTTAATATGACCCATTGAAGTTATCAGGAGACTAAAAGAAAGAGAAGTAAAATAATTCAACATTCATTTAATTGTTTCCCAAAAGCAATTTAAAACAAAAAGAACACAAGATAATGCAAAGGACAATCTCAGTGTTACATCCCCATTAAACACCTGGAAAAAACCTCCTATGCAGCCAAATATCACAGAGCAGAAAAGGCAACTAGGAGTGGGACTACCTTCTGCCAAAACACCATCAGTGTAGCAGCACCTTTGGGATAATACCTGAAGACATTCTTCCTAGTTTTTCTCAGTGTCTATCTGTTTCTACATCACTAGCAATAGACTCCATAAAACCTCCTGTATGTCAGATGCTGTCGAAGAGCAATGCTGTCTCCAGCCCCCATGTCCTGTTAGCTACAGAGAAAGCCCCTGAAGGACTGGCTCTGTTCCCTCTGAGGGCCCAAAGACTTACTTATCAGGTTTTAGGTCACGGTGAACAATCCCATAATTGTGCAGGTACTCCAGTGCCAGAACAGTCTCAGCAAAATACATCCTCGCCATATCAACGGGTAGAGCACCAATGTTCTTGAGGAGTGTAGCACAATCACCTCCTAGAAAGAAAACATTTGCACACATGGCATGTTGAAATGGCAAATATCAGTAAGAAACAGCAGCTATGGGTCTGCAGTACAAGACTAGACGAAGTTTTCTAAAGGTTGTCTCATAAACCTGTTAGGAAGAATTCTGAAGATCTTTCTGTATTCTGTCTTGAACTTAAATATTAAAATCCTAGGAAAATTGAGATCCATATACGTTGGGCAGGCTTGGACAGGAATTGTGCACATGCCATTTGCAAACTGAAGGAAGCCTTGAAGAAAGTAAGTCTGTGGACTCCTGATTGAAGCTTCCTTGGGAACACTGGCCACACATTTCAGTCGACATTCATTTCTACTTGCAAAGAGGAATTAATATTAAAATTTCCTATTGTCAATGCATCTGATTTCATTCCACTAATTTATCTGAAAGAGCACTGATACAATAACTATAATCTTATTTCTCAAACATTCAGTCAAGCAAGCCAGGCATAAGAAATTAATCCTATCCACCAGTGGATATTGCTTATAATAAGATATACTGATAAAGTAAAATCAAATTATATTTCAAAGAATAAGCAAACCAAACAATGAAGAAAACTAACCCCAGCATAAAATGGCACTTTATTTTTAAAAGGCTGCTAAAGAACAAAGACTTATGTTTCTTAAGTCTTTTTCTATGTGGAATGTCTAACAAATGTGCTATGGATCCAGCCATGCCGTCCCACAGGAGGGAAGGAGGGTTTCTTTTCCAATGAAGACTGGAAAGCTCATGCTGACTTCTGACCTCAGCAGTGAGGCTCAACTCCACTGCAAACGTGTTGTACCAGTCACAGGGATTCACAGCCCACATCCATCCCAACTAAGGATCCCCTCTGGAGGAGTGGACACCACGAACCTTACCTTCCACATACTCCATAACCATGCACAGGTGCCGCTTGGTCTCAAAGGAGCAGAACATGCTGACCACAAAGGGGTTCTCAGCAAATGTCAGGATATCTCTCTCCACAAAGGCCTGCTGGATCTGGTTTCTCAGGATCAGGTTCTGTTTGTTGATCTTCTTCATGGCAAAACGCTGGCGGGTGGTCTTGTGCCGCACCAAATACACCGCTCTGCAAAGCCACACGGAGAGGAAAAGGTCCATTTTCAGATCAAACTGCTTTGTTGTGGGTTTAGGTTTGGAGTTCTTTGTGGTTTTGCTGGGGTTTTTTAAGCAGTGGTGTTACTGTTTTGAGTGGATCCTGACAGACTTATCCATGACTCCAGAAAATCCTGTTTCAGTGACAAGCTTCCCTAGAAAATAAGGAACCCCATGATACTTCCTTCCCAAAGCTACTCTGCCTTCTTGAATAAAGCAGCATTTTTGCTGATGTCATGAACAATAAGATATCTCAACACCAATGTCACAAATTTCCATAAACATCATTGCACAGCAGCATGTATTTTTCAACACAACAGTGACCACTTGGCTTAAAAAATTGTCCAAAATCTGTGGAATCAGCAGGAGTTCTTTCCAAGCTCCATAAAATTAATTTGGCACAGCACTGTGACCAGGGATTTCCTTCAGTAAAGTATCTCTTACACTTCTATCATTTGCAGATCATTAGATTCTTTCACATTAATAATACAGTTTGCAAATAAAATTTTCATCCAGTCTCCCTGCCTTATTGAATCAGTACTTGTTTCCTTTTCTCTGGAGTACATTACATTTGACATGGTATTGTGTCTCACCAGCCACTGACTATAAAATAAACCCAGAATAAAGACATGTGACTAACAGCAAAACCACCACTTCTCTCTCCCCTTATTACAAAGTTACATGGGGCTTGTGCAGAAATATGACTGAAGAGATTTAAAATATTTTTGTCTCATAATACGACTCTTCAATATGCTCCATTGTGTCTTCACTCACTAAAAACCCATGCTTACACTTTTTCCACATATAATTTTTAAAAGGTGATTTGTTGTTAACTAAGTACCCACTTCCACAAAACACTCAAGCACATGCTCAGGTTTTGTTGTTATGACCTACTGAGTATCACTGCTTTTCAGTAACAGCCTAATGACCTCACTGTTAAGGATTTATGAACTGCAGAGAGTCAGGAGCTGGCTTTTAAAATTCTGGATAGGTTTGTGTGTGTGGTTAAAATTGTAACCGACTGAAATCATACTTGATTTTCAATGGATAATAAAATCTAATAGTTTTTCTCATGTATTACTCCTCACAGTAGATTTACCCCAGTGTAATTCTAGCACTTCTTTTAGCATTTCAAGTGCTCATATAATCTGAATAAATGAAAGAAATGGCATCTCCCAGAAGAATGCAGAAGATATAACAACTGTGGAACCTCTAAAAGACCCAAGTGAAATTATTTTATGCTTTGGACTCAACAAAACCCAAACATTTGCCAAACCTTGCTATAGCCCTTTGCTGGGTAGGACAATAATAGCATTTTCTTCTAATTCAAAGTCTAAAAGTCTTACCCATAAGCACCATTACTGATCAGTTTAATAGTTTCAAACTCTTCTTCAGACGGAGTTTTCTTTGACTGGACGGAGGCCCCACGGCTCTGGGGAAAGACAACAAGAAAATGAAAATCAGGAGCAGGAATGACTTCATTCTATATGTTTTTTGTTGGTGTTTTTTTTTTTGTTTTGTTTTTTTGTTTTTTTTTTTTTGTCTTTTTCTTCTTTAAGCACCCATTAACTCAAACTCAATCAATTTCTGAATTTCTGGAGTCCTCAGCTTTAGGACAATTGTCTGTATCCATAGGGTGTTTGCAGATTCCCTCCACAAATTATTAGCACAAACATTCAGTGGACTGTAAGATTCAGGCCTTTCCTTAATATTACATTTTTTAAAAAAACAATAAATTAGGATCTTGGAAACCTAGCCAGTTACATAACTAAATGTTTCCAGTGGTTTTACTAAAAGTCAACTCTTTTCAATACCCATCACATTTCATAAATGTAGATAACAAAGAATTCTTCCAGATGATTTTCATTTTTAACTCAAAAATTTTTTTTAAAAATCCACAAAACTTGGTAATAATGCCTGTTTGCATCTTTTAAGCATTTTACCACAACTGTATAAAGATTTTCACATTTTTATGAGCATGTACTCTAGTCTTAATATGAGCTTTTAAATGTCTGCACTTTTTTTTTTTTAATTACAATTATTCTGCCTTATAATTAATTCTCTACTGTAGACTACTTCTTTTGAGAGAAAAAAAAAGTGCTAGACAGAGTGAGTGTATTACTGCTTTACCTCGACTGAATCATCTGTCTCGGGAGTGTCTGGGCTGTCATAGCTATTCAACTGGGCCATTTCTGAAAAGAAAGAGGAAAGATTACTCCTAATGATCTCAATCAAACACTATTCTCTTTGTTTATGCAAGAAAAACAGGAATTTAAGAGGTGCTTGTAGATGGTGAAGGACATTTTCTTCCTCTGTAAAAAGTCACCCTAATTATGCAGTGATAACCTTTAGCATCTTGTACGCTGCAGGCAGTATTATATATAAAGATGAATATAATTAATTGTTCTAATTTCAGCCTGACTTACTCTAGATAGTTTCTATAGTAAGTAAAAGCAATAAATGCATGTTTGGAGAAAGTGCTGTCTAGTTAATATTAAAACCTATTACACACATATATGTCTGCATGTAGCCTGGTGGCACCTCTGTGCTCCAAGAAGAAAAAGCATCACATTTCAAACAGCTGCCCTCCACATGACGTGGCTGATTCTGCAATACACTGAGCAGCAGCAAAGCAGAGGAAAGTCACTGAGTTTAGGCTACTCAGCTGTCAGAGGAGATGCTGTAAACTCTGCAAGCCCAAACACTACGTTAGCTACGAGTCTGAACAGACATCACTGACATTTCTGGGTGCACTCCTTACAGAAAGGAAATAAGGCACCTTGACATCTCCCCACATTTCCAAAGAAAAGTTGACTTTAGTAGGGGAATTAGCAATGGAAAGGTTCTCTCCCATGACAGGGATCAAATGAAATTTCCCTTTAATGTCAGATTTCAACAAATGCTATTAAATTGCATTTAGAAATCTTCGGTAGAAATTTTCCTGAAGAGCTCTTCACTTGAAGTCAACCTGTCACTGTCATTCCAGTAAACACCAGAGAAGTTAAACTACTCCTAGCCAGACTACTAATTTATGTTAAAATTATGCTCTCCTGAGGTAACAAGAAGCATAGTTCAATCACTGAAATATTCCACACTAACCTCCAGTCTCTGTCACACTTTCTATTGTTGCTGAACAAGCTGTGCACACTCAGAAAACTTGTCATTTCAGCTGGCAATGTGCCAGGCAGAAATATTAATTCACTAATTCTAAAGTTACAATCTTCTGGGCCAATGTATATCTATATTAAGTTTACCATATGCAATTCTGGCACCTTGCAGAAAAGCTGTTTTTGTCCTTACTCTGCTCTCTTTGGTTTGGCTGCTACACAAGATGTATAAAACTTCAATCTCACCTACAGCTAAAAATGCATATTCATTGTGGTAATCTCATGGAAAACCACAAAAAACACACTTTTCCCAGAGGAGACATTTAGTGGGATGACAGGATACTTTCCAACCAGGCCACTAGCAGGCCAAGCAGATCACAAAAATAACAGGCAAATTTACTTTTACTGTCCAACAGCACAGAGAAAACAGTTAAATCCTAAAGCATTTTCTAATATTGTTTCAGCTATGATACAGGGAGACATTATTAACATCATAAGTAAAGAACTGTCACTATTAATGTGCCATCCTTACCCCAGTAACATTCCTCTGAGACATGGGCTGAAAAGGACAGTCTAGAATTTGACAGCAAACAGGAAAATAAGGAAAAATGGCCTAGAAATTCAATCAATAAAATAAAAGCATCCTTCAAGTAGTGACCAAGAGATCTACTATCCTTTCAACAGTTTGGAAAGTACATAACAAGAGTTCTCACCCTCCAGGGGATCCCTGGTGAGTCCCAGCTGGCTGATAATGTAACGAGGAATGTCGCATTTAATTCCTTGTCCTTCCTTGGCATGGCCTTCTGCAGCTTCCAACAAATGGTAGAATTCTTCGGGATCAAATTCCTACAGCAAAGCAGTGAGAGACACAGAGAGAGGTAAATGATACAGCTTTACAATTATGAAAGGTTTCTCCCCCTTAGAGGAGAATCCTCAGAAACATCCAAAGGTAATTCTGGGCTCAGCAGTGATGCAGAACATTTCCAGTTACAAGCAAGGCAATGCTTCCCACTCTGCTCTGCAAAACCAACAGTTACATCCCATGGGGTGTCCATGGGTTTAGATCTGCAAATCAAAACAGAACAAGGACTGTAGGGACTTTCTACAAACCACACCCAAACTTTCAAAAGCTCTTCTTAACGTAAGTCTTAAGTGTGGAGACAATCCCCAGTTTTGTCACATTGAGACACGCCAGGGAAAGGTCTGTGATGAGAACTGAGGCATCACCTTCTGCCACCTCCATCTGACAGGTGAGGTAACCCAAGAGAAGCCTTTTCTGCTGTCAGTTACCACTTCTGATCAAGCCATACACCCACCCAAACCTGTCACTGTCTTGCTAATAAAATTATTAATAAAACAACTTTCTTCATAAGAAGTACAGCTGCACTGTTTCTTGTACGCTACAGTACAGGATCACTTTAGCAAGTCAGTCTTTGTGCATGTGATCTCTCAGGCCAGAAAAGGTCATAGAAGGTGTCATGTCTTGCACTGGACTAAGAGATATAGCAGGAAACAAAAGACAAGCTTTGGGCAGCAGGAGCACTCTGCTTAGGAACAAGTCCACCAGTTAACTTTAGCTCTCCCCACTACAAACCTCATCATTCACCAGCAATGAGCAGCTTCGCCAACACTCTTCAAAATTTTCCAGTGAAATGAGAGGGTGAAAGGGGAAGAGTTTCAGCAAACAACTTAGCATGCACTGATAACAGTGAGGGCATCAGTAAAGAACTGCTGTGTGGTCAGCAACGTGAGAGAAAAAGAGCACAGAACTGCAAACAAGAAAAAGAAATTAGAGCTTGTAATGATGTGAAGAGACTTGAACAGAGAACAGACAAACTTCCCATGACTGCTCCAAGCAATGCTGCTTGGACAGATGCTGTCACCAAAGACAACAACAATGTGAGAAAGAAAGTTCCTTCCCAACTCCTCCAGAAAAGAATTAATCAACAGTCTCAGAAGTGGCAGAGAGCAGGAGCCAGACCAGAGAGGACCACAGAGAGAGATGGTCACCAGAATGCAGTGAGAGGGATGGTGGATCCAAGGAAGGACTTCTCGAGGTACGACTGCAGGTCATTCATTGGTGAGTAAAAGAGAGAGGGAAAAACCAACTTGGTGACAAGAAGAACCAAACATACAAAACATTAAGGAACTATATAGATTCCAGTTCTGACTTCTTTACGGTAAGTTTAATCACTTGAATACAGGAGAATGAACCCTACTAAGGGGAGGTAGGTGCCATGGAAAAATAAACTGAAAAAAATAGATACTTTTTCCCAAAGATGGTTTCAGAGATGCACAAACTACGAACCATTATTATTTTCTTGAAGACCCAGAGATTGTCTGACAATAAACATTTCATAGTCCAACAGGTAATGCAAATACAGAAACCAAATAGTTGAACTTTGGAATACTTAAATGTTTTTGACTGCATTAAAACAATCACCAGCATCACAAGCACTGTCTATATGGACACTTACTTAATTTACAAGGAAGAAAGAAGAATGAGCTGTGGTACTAAAGTTAACCTGAATACTAAATAGTAGAAAAACTTTTTATAAATTAATTTATAATTCATATAATTGAAGCCAAAGGTTGAATTACAAAAAAGTATGTTAAAAATAAAAATGAAAATTAGTTCTCAAAAGTTATTTAAACAGTTGACCCTCCATTACTATACTTCTTGCTTTATGGGACAAAAGGAACATTAGTATTTAGTTCTTCATGTCACCAGATTAAAATAAATATTTGGAAAAAAAATTGCTGAAAAGGCAATGCAGGTTGAAAAAAAAACCAGGTAAGACTAATCCACAGATCCAGATATTATTTCCATGCTTTGGAGTCTGGCCACTTGATTATCAAGGTTGTCACTACATACTTTGGAATTCATTACTCAAATCTCAATGACTTTGCTGCTTCCACCTGCTCCCACTCACTTTGCAGAACATCAGGTGGAGAAGACATAGAAGAACCTGGAGACCTCTTGATTTGCAACTAAGAGCTGCCTTGAGTTTGGAACTCTGCAGGTACAGACACGGGCTCACAAGGCTTTCTGAGGTTCCAAGTTTCCCTAGACGATGAGTGTACACAAGCAAAAATTACAATGGTGAATGCAGAAAATACAAACACAGGGAGTTTAAATTTATCTCCTTTCTCCATTGCCTTCGCTTCCAAAATAAATCTTGAAGAAGTGCTGGAAGATAAGTGGGAGTCACAAAAACTCATCTAAATCACAAACATGGTGTGAAAACCAAGGAATTCCCAGTTTGAATGGAGCCGTGGCCAGGATTTTCAGCGCAGTCTGGCAGAGATTTCTGGGATCAGTAAGTGAAGGTATCTGTCCTGCTGGTTGTGCAGCCAACTTCCTCACTGACAGTGGCCTTCCTTGCACTGCAGGATTCCCAGCAAAGTGATCCATCTGACAGCTGTGGACGAGGAATAAGGAACTCTCCAAAGTCTACTGGTTCTCAGAATTTTTGCAGGTGTTTCCAAAAACTGGCATCATTGGTAAGACTGGACCACTCTTGTCTACTTTGTCAAAGAAAGCTCCACGAAACTCATTCATCTTCCAGTGACTCCAGGGATAAATGTCACTTATGGACACACTGACCACAACATAACCCACATGTTAACTGTGCTTTTATAGCCAGCCACAGATCCCTAATCCAGCCAACTTCTCTGATGTCTCAAACACCTGTAGCACCTCTGTCACTTTTATGTCCAGAAAGAACCACCTCAAGTGTGCTCTGACATACCAGGGAATTTCATCCTGTCGTTACCTAAGTTTCCATTGTAAATTTGTGACACCTCACAATTTTTTGTGATTACCCTACATCCTCAATAATTTTCCAGCATCCTTTTGAAATCCAGACACTGAATTGAACCCTTTCAATTGTGTATACCTCTTTCTATACATATTGAAGGTTTATATTAACCCTGCTGCTATGGCATGACAGTGAGAATATAGGTTGTCATGCTGCTTCCCCACCACACCAATGCAATACTTTTGTAGTTGCAGAACTTTGGGACACAGTGGTCTATTTCAGTGGAATTGCCTAAAAATTTTCACCATTTTCTAACATTAAATTTTAAAAAAATGCATTATTATTAGCCAAATTAAGTTGTTAAAAAGCAGTGAGACTTGCTTTTGTTTGTATTCCAGTAGCACTAAATAGGATTTCAAACCCAAGCTCCCAAATCTCCTTGGATCTCACACGGGGGGATCCCACTGTGTGTTCACAGCTGGAAAATCTGACACCAGGTTTCACCAGTTGCTGGGTCTACTGGAAGGATTTGAGTTCCAGAGCCCAAATACCCTTTATGTCATGGAACTTATCTTCCTTAGTGGCAGCTCCTCCTCAGCACGGTGCTCTGGACACTGGGCCTCCCCCATACAGACATTTACAGGCTCCTTACAGTAGCTATTAACAACATGAGGAACATACCGTGGCATCAAGCAGCATGGAATGATGTTGACAGCTACATCTGGCCCCTCAGCCATAAACTTTATACTAAAATATAATTTAGCTGCTGATGCAGCTGACAACCCATTGGAGAACTATTTCCATATTAATGCAGAAGCCCCTTAGTACTTCTTTTTCTTTTTAAATATGTATTTATTTTTCATCAATGTTTTAATGAGCATGTAAAGGTCTCTTTTGAAGGCTTTGTGTCCCTTGTGTCCTCAAGTGCCCAGCACTCTCCAGGCCCTGCAGAGCCTCTCCAGGCCCACACTCACCAGGCACTCGAGCAGCCGAGCGGGGCGGGCGATGATGATCATCAGCTTCTTCACCAGCTGGGTGACGAAGGCAACCTCGGAGCTCTCGGATCGCTCGTGGGCCTGTGGAGGGCACAGCAGCACGTTATGGTCCCAGCACTGAACTCTGAGTTTCTCTGTCAGATGCTGAACTCAATCACCAGCTCACTAACCAATCCAGCAGCTAAAGCACAAACTTTTGTGCTGAGTCAGGGCAGGCTGAGCTCAGCTTGCTCAGGGATGCCAAAGCACACGTGGCTTTTCCATCACATCTGACTCACATTATCATGCAAGAGATATTTCAAAGGCTCTATTTGCATTATATCACTATCAATTATAATACATACAATGTGGGCTCAGTTTATTTTTTTCAATTTTATCTTCCACACAACATTGACATCTAGGTAATCACTAACAGACACATTTCTGAGCTTTACTTTCAGCTAGAATTTGAACTAGAATTTCTCTTCATCATCAAGAAAAACTCAATCTCAGTTTCTCCTTTTTCACTTTTACCAATCCTGTTGAATAACTCCAGCATTGCACTGGGTGTTGGTCCAAGCAGATAAGCAAAGAAAAGAGTATATAAAAACTTAATTCAGAGGATTTAGTCCTGTCTTTTACTTCACTAGATTTCAGTATAAATTGAATTCTTAGTTTCAAGATGTATGTGTGCATTTTTGTGACGGGATGTCTTTTTACAATAGCAAACACACCAAAACAATAATAATTAAAAATTTAAAAAAGAGTACATTAAAAAACCCTCAGAAATTACCCTTCTTTTGATGAAGCACACAATGGCTACATGATGAGTTCTGGAGCAGCAATATAATAGTATTTCACTGCAGAGTAATAAAAAAAATGGCAATGCAAAAACTCTTAAACTAAGTACAGCTATTTTTCCCCAAGGTCTAAAAATTGTGCTTTAACACAGCCACAAATATAGAATCCAGAACTTAATAAATGAGCCTTTGCTGGCAATGAGCCAGATACTTATAAGAGTGATATTTTATCAGCAACAGTGCAAGCAACAATAAATTAAAAGGTTCATTTAGTGTTGTCTATTAGAATCACCTAAGAATACATTTCTATATCTTTATATGTCTGAGAAGTCAAATCACACTGGCAATGAACTACAAGAGCAATACAAACATAGGGAGCAGAAATTCAGAACTAGAAATATATATGCAGCATCTTATATAACATATCTCTGATACTTTGCTGCCAAACAAAAAATATTAAAACGTTCATTATTTTTCATTTTGACACCAGTTGGAATAGAAATGTTGATTGTGTCCTTCAGAAGTGGTTAGCATTGGCTAGAATTTTAACCTTGAAGAGGATAATGTACCTGCTAGTTCATCATCTAAAAACAACATTAGAGGTCCTTTCTAGCTATAAAGCTTTAAAAAGAAGATTATTTTAGAAATATTGAAATAAGTTGTGATTTCTTTTCCTAATTAAAAGATTTTTTTAAATTATAAAATAGAAAATAATCACAATGAAAATGATAAATATTCAAATGAAAATGATAAATATTCACTTTATGTCCCCTAATGCATTATGCAAACTTACAAGTTACAATATGAATTTTAAAAATAAATTAATGCTTTCATATTTTAAAAGCCAGTCCAGATCACCAGAGGTTAGCTGCACTGAAATGAATAGATAAAACATCAACAACTTTGTATTATTTTAAATTTGAGCCATGCAACTGGAAAGTCCTTTTCTCCCCCCTATGTAGGTTATAATAGGCAAAAAATATAATGTAATAGATATAATTAATCATTTTGCATCCATTTGTACTGTTAAAGAAAACTTAGTCTTTTAAATCAAGTCCTTTTGTTTTCTCCTTTTCTCATCTCTGCCAATTCAGGCAAAACAATTTAAAAATGCAGCTAGTTTAATCAGGTGTCTGAAAATGAAAAGCTAGACCATGACTGCCAAATGACACAGAAAAGTAAAAGGAAAAAGAAAAAAAGCATTTACAAAAACCAAACGCAACTTGTAACAGCCACTCAGCCATCATCTCTGCACAGCGCTGCTCTTCCCAGATCCTCAGTGAAACTGCCTCCTCTTCCTCCCTGCTCCCGCAGGACATCCCTGGAGACTCCTGGTTGCCAGGGTGTGCCAGGGACAGAGCCCAGGAGCAGGAGGTTTGTCCAGCCAAGCAGCACCTGCCGCTCCCATGAGCCAGGTGCCAGCTGTGCCACCTCAGCAGCGCGTCCCCAGCACCGCGTGCCGGCCGCCGGCCGCTGGTGGCATCTCGGGGCTCCCCTCCCGTCCCCAGGAGGGCTTTGGGCAGAGGCTGATGCCATCCCTGCACTCGCTGCTGGGGACACGTGCACAGGAGGTAGAGATGGGTAATTCACAAACCGATTCCCTCATCTGAAAGACCCATCCGTCACTAACTGTGGCTGCTGGGGCATGAAATTAAAATCACTGTCCTCCCCTGGGCTTCAGCAGGACCAGTAACTGGGATATGCAAGTCACAACGCTGTAATTGAGCTAATATACTGATGGAAACCAAAACAATAGACCTGCAAAGCCAAGGGACTGATAAATTTACACTCAAGCTCCTACTAAGAAAGCAACCCCAGCCAGAATATCCATTTGCCAATGTGCAGCATCAGTCACTGCTGTAGAATGCTCACACCCTTCCCTGCTCCTTTTGTTCCATGCACAGAAGCACCTGTAATCCTTCACCATCCTGCCCAACTGGCTGCACCTAGGCTACTTCTACCCTTCTGATTCAGCCAAGTAATAACTGACTATAACCTTTTGTTCCTCAGTAACCTGATATTCTAACCCACGGTAACAGGTAAAGAACTGAATGTCACATGTTCTTTTTTATATCAGTGCTTTACCTATTTTTTTTTTGTATTTCTACTTTGATGTGAAGTGTAGCATTCAAGTTCATGTTTTCCAAAATAAAGAAAATCTCTTAAATTCATTTTTACCTCATGATTATTTCAATGATGTGATAAATTCTTCTGGCTAAAAGACAGTATTTCATGTTCCAAAATAGGGAAAAGATCTCATTTGCCATAGCTAATGAGATTTGTTGGCATGTTATTGCAAAAGCCAGGATCTAAAAATCTTTCAAAAGCTTTCTGGTTTGGTGCATTTAAACAGCTCATTATCTGCATACCCAAACAGTCTGTTTTACATTTTTACTCAAACTACAATATATTAAATCAAGTTTCCTTTTTATGATTTGAAATGCTGTGCAAGTTTAGTTTGTTACCAGGTATCAGAATCAACACCTTAAAAAGAATTTTTAAGAGAGAGAATCCATTCTTTCATATGTAAGAAAATCTGTGGATATTTCTGCCACTTGCTAGCCTCATTATTCGCCAATAAAGCATCTTTCCAATATTTCAGTATCTTATAAAAATACGAAACTCCATAGCCTGCTATACAGACTATACAACTCCCAAGTCACACAGCTTTTTGAATTACCTTGTAATAGGTATTATTTATGTACCTATTATTTATGATACTTTACAACCTAAGCAAAGGTTAAGATCCTGCCATCAAATTTGGAATAGTTTAAACTTGACTCTAAAATGTCCTGTGCTTCAGGTGAGTCCTCTAAAAGAAATAGTATCACCAATTTCTATATATTTTGACTAAAAAGTTCCAATTATTTCCTTGCATAATGCAGTCTAAAAGGCACAGCATAGACTAGATAAGCAGAGGAAACAAATAGCTCTTAAATATTAAAATCTAAAAGATAAACTAAGGAACAGAAAAATCCATAGGACAGGGAAAAAAAAAAGAGAAATAAGTGGAATGAAGCCTTTGGCTTTTCTCTGAGGTCTTTAATGTCTTTGTTCTCTTCCTTCCCAGCTGTTCTGTCTCCCTTGCCTCTCTAAACATTCCTTTTAATCACCTCTAGCCCACCTTACTTCCTAGAGTAAATCAATCAAACTGAAGAGCTGACCCCTCTCTCGTGCCCACTCTGCAGATGATGTTAAGGAGGAAGAGGGCAAAGAAAGCCCCAAAATGTCAATTCCTGAACAAGCTCAGAGATGACCATCGTATCTCCTCTAATCACAGTTCAGTAACACCTTTCCCAGTATTTCAGAGCAGCAGGATAATGCCTGTAGGATCAAGGGGGAAGGGACATTTAAGGAGTGTATTTTGAGGATTTGTTCTGAGGGAAAGGGGAGAAAAGGAAACAGCTGATTTATCTGACCCACACCTCCTCCGAGACCCTGATTAACCTCTTCAGGCCAGAAGACAGGACTGAAAATGCAGACTGGAAGTGGCCAGCCCTAATTTATGGCTCTCTCAATTCCTTATTGTGTAAGAAATCATTGTCCACACACAGAGAAGGAAAGTCAGGGAGAGGGAGAATTTCAGGCTCCACGGATCTGCTACCAGAAGCAGTAAAACACAGTGTAGTCCCCCTGTGCCCCTGAAATGTAAGGGATTTTGCTGAGCATACAAAGTCACTTTTAATGAAACCTTTCCAACTTCCAAACCATCACCCAAAGAGGCCTGACCCCTTATTTCACAGCTCACATGTGCAAATACCCTGCTTCCAGACTCTGGAGATACAAGGGGGATCCACAAGTGGTTACTGATATCCTATAGGCAGACAATCATATAGCCCCTCAAAAGATATTCCCTACCTCTCTTGGTATGTCAAAATTATATTCCCCACCCAAACAGAACACCACAGATCCAAACATGACTCATTTTTCTCTCAAGCATAACAAATACCAGAAAAATTACAGCCATACTTACATAAATGGGGCAGCCAAAAAATTCAGCTGATACAAGGGAAGTTTCTGCAGCTTTCAAAAAGCTTTTTAATACAACAAATGTATATTAATATAGTATTTTTACTCATCTGCCTTTTTCTAATGTCTGAAAAGAGCGGCAAAGGGACACAAACTAGTGCAGTTCATGCCAGTGTGTTAGCAAACTGATCAATAAAGATAAAATTAAAATCATAACAGAAAACAAAGTATTTCAGATGTTCTGTTTCCAGGTGATATTTGCTACCTGTTTGCTGTTTCTGTGATATTTGCTATTTCTGTGATATTTGCTTATCTGAGAATGAAATCTTTATAAAACCTGTTTTCAGTTTGCTGTATCATTAAAGCAGAGGATTAGGAAGATACTCCTAACCAGAGGTCTGGATGCAGGCATTTGCAATAGCACAGACTCTTCACAACAGTTACAGCATAAATTCTAAGAGATGCTTGAAATTTAATATTGTTTTCACTTTGAAGGGAAAGAGGGAAAGAGCAATTTTTAATGAGTAGCTGAAGCATACTGAGAATGCATTAAAATTACGCCCCCTTGTGTATTTTCATAAGCTTTGAATGCCACAAAACACATCCAAGCACTAAAAATTCACAACTGGATTTTAAGTTCAGCTCAAGAAAATCTTTTGTGAAAAATTTACAGCAACACAAATAACTATGGTGCTTTCACTCCTTGAAAGCAGTATTGCAATTAATAAGTCATTCAGAGTCCTGAAGTTCATGAGAAAATATTTCAATAATTTTGTTCAGCTGAATAAAGCCAATTTTCATAAATGGTAAAGACTGCCTTTGACTTACTCATATTCAAATTTAATTTCTGTACAAACAAAGTTCACAGGTGAAGTGCTTTACTCAATCCCACCCACAGCAGAGCATCAGGAGACTGGAACATCTCAGATCTCCTGACACCCTCACCCACTGCCCCTCCCTTGGAATCCACACTGTCTCTCCTAAAATCAAAGCTCTGGTTTATTGGTTAAAGTTTCAATCAAAATAATATATTCTACTTTTCAGAGGGCACTTACATCCTGGAGAAGTTTCTCTAAGTTTTCCTGCAGCTCGTAAAAGTACCGAGAAGTAATAAGACCTTCACGTGATTTATCTAGGCAATCTCTGGCCAGTTCAATAACTTGATGGTGAATGAAACTCAGGACCCCATCTGCTAATTGCAGCACGTTCTCAGGAGCATTCGAGGCAATAAACTCAGCCAGCCGTTCTTCCATCTGTGCCGTGGCCTAAAAGTGCAGAATGAAGAGAAATCACTCTTGAATTTTACTAAGGCAGATCTTAAAGCACAAACAAGTAGGGTGCTAAAGAAACATTTGCAATACCAAAGTGCATGAAGCTTAAAAAATATTCCAAAATACAATAGCGTTTTCTGAGAATCAAGATAGCACATCAGAGGTAAAAGTTCTGTTCACATGAGCAAACAACAAAAATTAATCAAAACATGCTTTCTGAAAATGTAAATGTCCATAAAAATATCTTGGTCCTGAGGCTGTATACCTCCCTGGGTCTCCAAAGCAAGGATGAAAGTTGTGAGGCAGTTTTCAGAACTTTTAGACAAGACTGTGGAAGCTGAAAATCATTGCCCCAAGCAAGAAACACGCGGCGTTTCTATCACTATAAGCCCTGATATCCTGTCTCCAGAGAAACATCTATTTTTGCTGGTGGTGAACAGGAAGGAATGGCCATATCGACAGCTGTGGGATACACAATCTTCTACACTCATTTCAAAGAGATTTTAACTTTTAACTTGCTTCAACAGGTTTCATTATTCAGCTTTTTAAAAAGCCAAGGCATTGCCCTTCTTCTCACTCTTGTGAGAATTTCTTGTGCCAATAGAAGACATCAGAAATGTAGCAAATATTAAATACACACAAAAAAACCTCAATTCAGCCCTTTCCATCCTAATCTCAACGTATACTAAATCTATTTCTTCTACTGTAGAATTAAGATATGAAGATGAGGAGGCAGCTTCAAACTCTCAAACTCTCAATCACTGTTTGGAAATGAGATATAAGAGCTGGGCTCCTTCTCTAACCAGCACTCCAAACTAATTCTGAGCTTGGACATAAGTTCATTGAATGCATTATTCAAAATGTGATTCTTTACCTTTGGAAACCTCTCTTTATACACGTGATTCATCATTATTATTTCACTGTCAAAGGAAACTGGAGATCGACCAGGGCTGGAGGAGAAAAGAAATCATGTTATAATTTACAGATATCACACCAAAACTCTTCAAAACCCAGTGCTGATCATAATGCTGCCACACTGACTGTAGCCTTTCCAAAGCTTTGCGTTCACTTCAGTAATGTGCAGATGTTGGACCTCAGAGAAGATCCTGGCAAGCAGTGGCAGTCTGCAGTCTCCTGGAGAATGCTGACATCCCTGTCCTCTATTTCATTTCCAGTGAATGCCAATCATAACACAGAAGCTTGTAAAACCCCTGTGCGTTTCTTGCAGGTATATTTGCTATTCCCCTCATTCTGTGCCTGCCCTCCATGGCAGCAGGAGCAGCCATACTCCAAAAGAAATCACAGTGAGCTCTGGAGTCTCCAGTGCCAGAAGGAAGCAGGGCAATAGGAAGTAAGGAAGTCGAGATGATTTGCTTTCCTTTGTCTGAAGGATACTACATGGGCACTGTTACTCAGCTAGATCTTACATATTAAATAAATACCACAGGCAACAGGGACAGAGTACTTTTATGAAAGCTGCACTCCCTTGATACACATTACACCATGGTTCCATATACATCTATGCACAGATTAGCAAGAACCTTTAAGGCACACCAAAAAAAAAAAAAAAAAACCCAAAAAAACCCACAGGACACTAAATCCTGACGAGCTGCATTTATATTACTGTTTGGGTGGGTTTTTTAAAGAAAGGTTGCATCTCATTTCATCACATCTGATGGCATGCAGGGCTCTGACTCACTCTGCCACCAAGGACAGGCGGATGAGGTAATGCAGAAAATCCCCAGCTACAGATCGCCTGCAGCAGCTCATTGCTCCAGCTACCTTCTTTCAACGTTCAAGACAAACAAGGGCTTCAATTATTTGGCATCTAAAGTGATCACTGTCCTCATGATTTTGAGAGTACTAAATACTCCTACAAATACTCCATGTCAAAAGATAAAATTGTATCTTGAATGCCTTCAAACATTTCAAACTTTCTAGTGAAGGATGAAATCGATCTCTCTAAATGGAATAAATGCATTTTAAACTTGGAATGCATTACAGTCACTACCTTCCTGCTAACCTATTTAGAGCAAAAACATTCTTTTGGCAACATATATTAACAATTCAAAGAAAATTTAACTCATTGGGTCACAGACTGTAGCAGTACCAGACACTTTTCATGCCTTGTACTGAAAATCCATGAGTTACATCATGTCTTGTTTTTATTACTGCTTATCCCTCAGCTTGAGAAAATGCACTTCAGATTAAATCTGTCATTGAATCCTTATGTTGAAGAAGAAAACTGATTTGGATGTTATGAATAGCAAGTAAAAAGACATTTTCATCAACTTCCCTCCGCTTGGTAGATAGCTATTTTTAATAAAGAAGAATTTTCTTTAAAAAGAAACTTACATTTATATTCCTATGTAATGTATGACATAATTAAACATTAGGGTAAAAACATTTAAATTGCAGAGTTATAAGCAAATTCCCCTGCCCATTTAGCTTACTATCCTTATCGTTTTTTCCCTTAAGACTAAACATGCTGACACAAACACCACACTTGTATACTGGTACTTCACAGGAAGCTGGAGGACTTGGTGAACACAGTTAGTGAAGAATTCATTTTTCTCTGATGTAATTTTTCTCTGTGTGATGTAAGTGAGGTATAAATTTCAAGTATATATAAGCCCTTTGATAGTTACACAGAAATACTGAGGCACACACATACTTCATTTTAACACTAAAATTTGCACATGCTTAAATATTTGCTGTCTTAGGGCTACAATAAAACATGAGGGATTTTGCCTTTTGCTTTCAAGGCACTTTATTAATATGGATACAGGAAATTAAGAGCTCTGCAGAAATCAGCTACTTGAGCTGTCCTGCCAGCAGATGTAGCCTTTCCTTAGGGAGAACCATGATAGGAGAATTTACTGTGTTTGCTTTTTGATTACAAAACAATTTCTGTGTACACCAATTGGCAAGAAAGTGCTTCCTTGGGCATTTGCAGTTTTTTCTCTCACCTTTGGAAGCTCATCAATGCCACTTCTTACCAAGTAAAACAACAGAGTACCCAAAAATCTCTGGATAAAACTTTGGATCAAGGGGTACATTGTCATCCAAAATAAAATTTGCTCAACATACCAGGTCAAATGAAATGTCTAGCTGATTATAACAAGACTGCAACATAATATACTGCACCATAATTTTTAATGTTGATCCTCAGCTTGGGAAACGAAGGAACTAATTAGCTGGATACCTGACTGACTAACCAAAGGCTGCCTGCCAAGCACTGCTGGGTTCTTTACAGCACATCTGGGACACAACCAGGTGAAAAAAGGAACAAGGACTGGGCAGATAACTGAATGCCACCAAGGGAGAATGTAAGGAAATTTAGAAATAAGATAAAAGGAGTCTAAGACATTTTACTGGCATGATATCTTTTCAAATGCAAAAGCTTCACACATCTACCCAGCACCAAAAATTTCACAGGCAGAACCAAAACAGTCGAACATTTCAAGCCTCACAAAAGAACAGATTATTTTCTGCAAAACGGAGGACACATGCTGTGCATGTGCACAACATTTTAAGACAAAAGGCAGGCTCCTTCCCTTTTCATGGTGCAGATAGGTAGGTCAAAGAAATTATTATCGTCAGTGAGTTTTTCATTTCAGCAGAGCAGACATTAGAAAAATATTATCTGTCCCCTTAAGCTTAACAGTAGGATGAAAAACTACTCTCTCTTTTCCCCTCCTTCACGCTTCCTCCACTTTATGAGACAACGTGGAGGTGGATTTTCAGGGATATTTATCTCCCACAAAGATTTCTGTTGCCTTCAACCTGTCAAAACTCATGTCTCCTTATCTGATGCTTCAAAGTGAAAATAGCTTATAGAGAGCTATTTTGAGGAGCAACATTTACACAGTAACTTAAATCTTACAAAATCTAGTTTAAGGGTGACTAAATAAAACCAAGATGTTTATTAATAGGTCATTTTTCTTTCACTGTGATAGCTGTATTTATTAAGAAAAGACAAAAAAGGTAAAAACACTGTGTTTCCCTCTGGTTTCACTCTGTATGTAAAGGCTGAGTTAGGTTGTAGTTACAGGACATGACCAAAGCCAGTTCTCATGGGAAACTCAGAACCATAGGCTTTAATTTTCTGTCATTTCCAGACACACAAAATAAGGAATTGGAAAACTAGAGAGCTAAAGTTGGATAAAGTAGGGACTAAGATAAGCCTTCTGCTGAACGTGAGCCTTCCTCTTCTCCCAGGAAATAAATATTTAAATCTTTGAGGTAAGGAAAGTTACATTAATACTAGAAGTCAGAAAACTCTCCCAGCAGCAGGGGCTGCAACTTCTGCTTTCCAATATTTCAGGGGTTTTATGCATGCCAGCAAAGACTGAAACTGCTTTAGAATGAAAGCAGAAAGTTGGAGTAATGAGCAGTGCAAAGAACAAATAAGGACACCCAGTTTTTTTCATAACAGAAGACCACAAAAAAGGTGAGTGAACCCAAAAGTTAATAAATATAAAACCGATCACTTTGAAGAATCTTTTCAAGTCAAGTTCACAGGACACACTGTCTTGAGAGAGGGGAAAAAAGAGACCAACATGATCTGTAATGCAGTTAGAATGTGTTTTCAGAAGGAGCAGATGCCTTGTGCTGTAGAATATAAAACTATTATCCTTCCCCAAATCCATGGGGATGTGAATCCCTGCTCCACAGCTTGTGGTGGATGGCACTGTCTGAGAGCAGCGTGAAGGGATGAACCCACCACGATTACTCAGGTGGTTAAAGCTGTCTCTGAAGTGCACTGAGATGAGAGAGCCCCACAGCCTGCAGGATGAAAGATAAAAATGGACTATATGGGACAGTGGTTTTCACAACATCTATTCCTTCTTGGGCATTTTATCATCAGGGGTCTTTTTTTTTTTTGTATTTTCCAGTTGTTTTGTCTGTATATTCTTAACAGCAGGATCCAGTGTGCTCAAAGTCAGGTTGGGGGATTGCATTTAAAAAGCACTACCCAGCAAAGAGATGTAGAAGGATGATCTCATCTACTTCAACTATATAAAAATTCACTGCAACAATCTTCAGCCCTTTTAACCTAGACAACATTATCCTGAAATACAAAGAGAGATCAAGAAAAATGGGCAGATTGGTGGGCTGAGTGACTGAACAAAGATAGCTCCTGAAAAAGTCTTTATTAGTTAACTCTACTTTTATCTCTGACATTCTCCACACATTCCCACATGTGAACAACTGCTAAAGATGACAAGCAAAGAGAACTGAGAAAAGATGGAAGGCAGCATCTCTTTAACTTAAAAAGAGTAAAGATGCCAAGTTTAGTGCAAGTATTCACAACTTTTCAGGTATTTTACCACAGGGAGAAAATATCTTCTTCAGGTAAAGCCCAGGACTGATCTAATCAAAACAAATGTAGCCTGGGGATCTCCTTGTTGGTCAATAACTTGAAGGATTTGAAGGTTGCATTATTAAAAAATTTAAAAAAAAAAAAGAGAGAACAGTTGAGAGATTATATTTATGAACTACTTCTGCAGGTAATGAAGTCTTTTCTTCTCTTGAAGACACACTACAAGCACCAGAACAGGGAGTCACATGGAAATATGTTCTTTGACCGAGCACGTGAGTACTGGATCATTTTGAGACAAATGAGAGAACAGGCTCCTGGATTTTTTAAACCACTTTAAAAGGATGTCACACCTTTGCATTCAAGTGCTGGTCTCATGTTCCCTCCTTTCCCCTGCATAGGAAGCAGATGGGAAAGAACCAGGGCCATTTCTTCAGGGCAGAAATTCCAGGCTTTTTCAAATAAGGCACGATTAAATAAAAGATGAGTATCTTCAAGGCACACTGGCAGAACACCTCAAGCAAAGCAGAGGTGCTACCAACCTGTCAGTGCACCCTCCATGACTGCACACTTTGTTAGTTTTATCATCCAGTTTGATCATTAAGAGTGCTCCGTATGAATAGATCATTTGCAGCTAGGTACCAGAAAATGGTACATTTTTAGCCAAAAAAGTGAGTGTATTTTTCCAAAAGTTACATCTAGGCAATATTCTATACCTAGAAGCATAAAAGCATCGTCTGACACTTCTAAAAAAATATCTTGGATTACAGAGACAAAAAAACAATCTCAGCATTTGACAGTGACATCTCAAAATGCCACTTCCTCTCTCAAAAACAGATGTAAGGCTGCAGTCATATAGGATGGAAAATGAATACACATTAACAATGACACCATCTTTTAAATTATAAAGCCATGGCTGCCAATTAAGGGAAATGTCTGATGTATTTTGTTCATCTGCTTTTCATTAAAGCTGATCAAACAAGACCACTGAATGAAAAAATGCATTTTTAGGAAATTACTGCTTAATTGAATTTAATGTTGAAAAACAAAAGCTGTTGTCAGCTTTTATTTTTTAAGTAAGTGAAAATATCTTCTCATCAAATGAGGTAACTCTAAAGTGTGGGCAAATAAATAAGCAAGCTTTGTGCAATGAACAATGTCTGGTCTTCATGTATTTGTTTACAAGCACAGGCTGCCCTCTGTCAAAGAGGGGTTTTGCCCCTTCAAACACTGCTGCAGTTGGTTGGATTGACCTATCCATTTTCCTTGAAGGTGCAAGGGCCAGCATGAATGCCTAGTAGTGGCAAGGGTGCTTTAGAGTCACAAAGCATCACAATACTGGCAATAAGCAAAATGAAAACCAAATGAGGCACAGTGAGCTGAAAAAAATTAAATTACTTCATTCTAAGCTTTGGAATACCAATAGGGCTGGACATTTTCACACTAAAAACCAGTGAGAGAGCCAGAAGAGGAGAAGATTAATCAGTTATATGACACACTGAATTAATCTCATCTCACCACAAATTATAAACCTGCTCCATGATATCAGTCTGTTTCAAATTGGCTCACAGAGGCAAAATTCTCTGCAACCTGATAACCCATATTAACAAGGAAGAAAACAAAATTGGGCTATTGATGTGGTCTTGTATATCATCCTTTCATTAGCAAAAGTGTCTTCTACAGCAGGATTCCAGCTGTGTTAGAGGACAATCACTACTTTAGCTGTGTGTCTACAGGAGCTGCCTCACCTCTAGGGAATTAGTACCACTACAGTTACACTACTCAGCAGGGCTCAGCGTTATCAGGGGCAGCACGAGGACTCAGGGAGGACTATGGCTCAAAGGGACTTAGTACAAAATGTAAAATTAGTCTTTCACTACATGGCACTGAGGAGGTCTCTGGCTAAGTGTGCCACTACCCACAGTACTCACCTGCTCCTGTAGAATACTGTGTAACTACACTTAGCAGATCCATATGCAATTACCATGCAGCCTGCACTGAAGTTCAGAACATACAAATAATTACAAATAATTTTTTTTCACAAGGTGTGTCTAGATTTTCCCTAGACTTTCATGCACTTGGTCCAGAACTAAAGCAATAGCAAAACTTGAGGCTTTTGCCATGGTACAAAATGTTTGTGTATTCACTCCATATAACTGTTAGAGATCTGCAGACAGATTGCCCAGAGAGTTTGTGGAATCTCTGTCCTTGGAGATATTCAAAAGCCATATGGACATGATCCTGGGCAGCCTGCTTGAATAGGGGTTTGCACAGGATTACTCCAGAGATTCTTTCCAACCTCAGCCATTCTGTTATTGTGTGAAAGATGACATTCTAGTTGCTTCTGGTTTTATGTATGGAAAAATCAACTACACAAGGAAGTAACCTGGATAGTTATCTTTGAACAACCAGTTATCTGAACTAAAAGTAAAATTATTCAATTATTAATGCAACAGAAATGTTTTCAGCACTATTACAAAATTGTGCTGGTGTGAAACTCCATTTAAGGTTTTGACTTTATCTACTCTGGTTTTCATACCCCTTCAGAAACACTGCCAGAAAAGTTATTAGAAGTGGTTATAACCATATCCTTATGATATTGCAGCAAAATTCTGAGAAGAAACTTCACTAAAGGAAATCCACATCCTATGCATTTAGTGTGAGACACTTGCTGATCATGTTTACTCATAGTTATTGTGAAAACAAAAAAGCAGAGTATACCAACCACTTTACAATCCAAAAGCTCAGCAATGTGAGAAAAAAAATCCTTTGTGATCAGAAGAGGTGAGCTAAATGTTGATTAAAATAGTTCCAAAAACATGTAACAAAGCAACTACAAATGACTAGTCTTAGATCTGAAAGCACATCTAGAAATGCAATAAATGTGTCCAACATCTCAAAAATTCAACAAGCAATCCAAAGCTCACCTGAGACTGCGAGACCGAGGCCTCAAGGCTGGAGAATGGCGCCCTTCCTCATCCGTGATGCTCTCAGTACTGAAATGCTTTGTCAGGAAATGAAGTTCATCTGCCGTGGGCTGAAAGGGCAGCTGGTGCAGCTTCTCCTGAGATGAGCATGATGACTGAGTACAGAAAAAAATACAGAAAAGAAATGCACTAAACGCATGCATAGGGGTCAGCTAATGAATGGAAGAGGAACGGATTCTGCCAGACACTGCGCACTCCAGCGGAAAAGAAAGCTATTTATCAGACCAGGTGCCTCTTTTTATTGCTCTCATTAGGCTAAGCCAACCCTCACATTCAATGACAGAGCTGGTGAGATCAAGAAAACTCTGGGAGAGGGCTAGGGAACCACTGCATCTGATTCTGGAACCAGCACATCTGACCATGCAGGTAATTTACTATCAGGAGACAGAAAGGAAGGCACGTGAGTACCAGCGCTACTCAGGAAAGGACAAGGAGGTTCCTGGAGTGGTGAGCAACTTTCTTTCCTTTTCCCTCATATTCTCTTAGCTCAGGAGCTTCACTGGCATGCAGAATGCTATGGAGCTGTGCAGACCCAAGAGTTTTCTGCTGGTTATTGGCTCTCACTGGAAATTGCTATTGTAAATGGTCAGGATTTTATTTCTCCTTTTCATTACCCACCAGGCTTCTTCTCTAACTAGGGAAACAATAATAAAGTATCTGACTTAAAGATTAACAAGGTTCCTCATTAGTGAATTAAACATCTTACTCTTCTGTAACTAAGTTGATGCATTTATATGACACATGTCCTGTGACAATAATAGACAAGAAGCTGTTTTGATTTGTGACTCTCATAAAACCTGAGATTAAAAGAAATATTTGTGGACATATTTGTAGGAAATGCTAATAACACCAAAGTTAGATATTCCAGGGGAAAAAACTGAAGGTCGACTATCACATGTATTTTTTTTGTGTGTGATTCTTCAATGCCCCTTTCCATTTTAAATTACATAAGGACAAATTAAAAAATTCTCTTTACAAGCAAAAGGGAAAAAGAAAAAAAAAAGGTGCTGAATAATCAAAGTAGCACTGAACCACACCAGTGGGCCTTTTTAAAAACATCACCCTGACCTAAGTTCCACAGCTCCTTATTATCTGATGAAATTAATTATGTACACTGTTCCTGCAGAAAAACTTTTTCTTTTGCTAAAACAACCCTCACTTAGACTGGAAGCACCACATCCTAGTAACAGAAGTATTGGTAGGAGGGAGTTATACACGATATAACACATATGACTAAAGTTTTAACTCACCTAGCATGGGAAAGAAAGCAGATCTGTCTCTTGCCATATAGCTAGATCATATGGATTGAAATTTTCTGAAGGAAAAAACCCAGTCAACCAACAAATCTGAGATAAACAAGTCACATAGAATGCATCTGTTCAAATGGTGGAGTTATTCCAAGTATTGTAAGAAACAGAAAATAAGGTGATGTAAGAACCTATAAACCTAAAGACAAAACCTATAAACCTAAAGACAAAAATTTAATTGGCTCCAGATCCACTCTCACTGCACTGCACAGAGGCATTTACAGAAAAGAATCCCCTTGAAAGCCTTGGGATGTGCACGAGCTTCCCAAGTGTGCCTGGAACTGAAAGCCACCACTTCCAATGTTTTCTTTCAGGCAGGTCTATGTGGAGGGACCATGTTGGGAAGTCACTTCCAGCCCAGGGTGCACACACTGATGCTTACCCAGGTGGTGTATCAGTTTACACTGGTCTATTCTACACTGAAGCCAATACAGAGTGTGAGTATTTGCCCCTTTGCCCACAGCTGTTCTGCTGCTCAAACTGTTTATGCCAAATACAGTGACTATTGTCTCCCTTAAGTACAGAATTATACAAATCCTGTCTTGATTTTCAGAGATTTCATTGATGTCTTTGTTTATGTCTCAAACAAAACAAGGAGTAGGAAGAAGAACCTGCCCATGGAAAAAACCTCAAAGAAAAAGTTAGGTGGCAGCTGAAATCCCATTCATGGTGAATAACACAGATCCTGCAGTGGAGCAGGAAGTACTAAAGACACTTAAAAACCTGCCTTAACATATACCCAAGTTCTGGTACTGCAAATACATGTCTGATTCAAAACTAATTAAGGAAGGCTAGCACATAGTTACATGAATTAGAAAGAAAAAAAAATCAAAACCTATAATCTCAAAAAAATCATTAAAAGCTTTACATTCCCCAACAGCAAAATGTCTGGGGAAATAGTGCTAGTCAACACATGGACAGCTCAGCAATATCCACCCTCCACTTCCTCTCCCTAAAAGCAATCAGATCACAAAGTTTAGAATTCCAGAGAATAATTAATGAAGGCCCTGAAGATAAAGACCATGGACTTTTCTCTGCCAAGGGCTTCTCTAGCAGTATTAAGGCACACAACCTTTCAATGAAAACGCATGAAAGCAAAGTGAAGCACTTCTGAACTATTGATTTTCAGGTAATCACACCACAGTACTCAATATTTGCAGCAGACTAATACAAATATCCCCCTGGTGTCCTAATTACAGATGCAGAATTAGCCAACTCTTCTCCAGTTTAAAAAAAAATCAATCTATATTACTGTTGCTTGTAAACTAACTCTGCATCTAGAAAATGAAGATTAGCTGTTTAAAAATAATTGTATACTGGCCCATCTAATTGATTATTTTATGTTCACCTAACTTGAAAGGTCTTCTCCAGCTTTTTCAGTGTTGGTCTGATGATACATCTGGTCTTCATGATTTGTAAAGAAAAGGGTAAATATGGTTTGGTTTTGATTGACGTGTCACCCCTCATTTGGAAGCAAAAAAATAAAGCAGAATCTACAGATTCTCACTGACCTCAGACTAGGTAAATGCCTTGGTTGTTCAGTAGGTTGGCACAGCAGGTGATCTATGATCACAGAGATGAGGGTCAGCTCTTGCTCTCATACAAAAACTCAACCAGGAGGACACAGAACAGACTGGGCCTTTCTTGATATTTTATTTCCCACTGGCACACCAGAGCAAAGGTCTACTGGCTTCCTTCATCTTCCTTAATCTTGAGGACTGATTATATGAAATGGAAGCCCAAACTTCTCTTAAATTTGTATCTGCAGCACTAATTCATTGTGTCCTTTTGACAAGCCCCTTCACTGCTTCTTACTTCAGCTTCAAAGTCTACACTGGAATAACACTTCTTATCAACTTTAGAGGTGTTACTCAGATCAATTCAAATTAATTCTAATCTGTGAAATACTGAGATAATAGGATTGGCTTAGAAATGTAATACCAGGTTTAATAGCTCCAACAATTGCATCACTACTTACTAAACAGCCCATTTCAATGGTTTTCTACTACTGAACCAGCAAAAGGACTAGAGATGAGGAACTTAGTCACTTAATAAAAGAAAAATAAAAGTCTTGGAATTACATGTTTCAACCAATTTCCTGAATGAAGCTGAATTCAGGTATAACTACAACTATCACTTATGCTTCTCATTACACTTCCCTGTTACTTACACTTTGAAAAATTACCATTTGAACTGATGCTTTTTATGTCACATGTCTATCTCAGATTTGTTGGATTGTTTGATTGTTTGTTTTTTTTTTCCATGGGAAGACATTAATCAAAATGATCCATTTATTTCTGGGAACATGCCAAGAGACAAATACGCTTTATTTCCCATGCCAGAAAGCTGAGAACTTTCTAAAAGTAGCCTTGATGTCCCAATTTCAAAGCAAGAATAGATGCTTCCAACAGGTTTTTGGTGTTATTACTTTTTCTCTCTTCATGGCATCCAACTTAAGTCTCGTCAAACTACAAACTCTTGAAAAACTACAGTTTGGCCTCCAAAAGTGTCATCTTTACAAGCAAATTGGAAGCTGTCACAGTGACTACCAATGACCAAGCTATTAGGATGTCATCCATATGGAAAGTAACTGTACTTGCTCCATGCTCCCATAGCTTGAAGAAGACTTAGACATGGATTATGCCCATAAAGATTTAACCTAAGACTATAAAGGCCAAAGCAGAACCCCTTTTTAACAGCTGCTCTCACGTGCTTGAGTATACAATAATATGTGGCAGTGAAACCAGGAACATCTTTTTCATGCATATTTTTCTGTGCTCCTGCCCACATATCTGTATGCACATTGAAATCAAGTCACTTGCATTTCAAGGAGACAAAAAAGCACCCCAAACTCAAAAAGAAATCAACTGTCTTGAAGTTCAAATGTTAACAAATGGTAGAAATTGTGTGAACTAGAGTTTGCAAGAATGTGTCTGAACAAATGAAATTATAGAGATAAGATTAACATTGCAGAATCAAAATTTAATCATATCAATTTATACTAAAAGGAAACTTTTGACCCTAATTTCTTCTTTTTCTATACGGATTGAACGTAACACTCAGCCCAAAAAAACCTCATAAATTTGTGTTTGAGAGGCACTAGAAAGTTTATGGATGAACTTAGAACAGTTCACAAGGAAAACAATCATAAGATTTGCATAAGGTGTAGTAATGAGCCCTAATTAATGAAGGTGTTACAATTATTAGGAGCATACTCTAAATCATTAATACAAAACCAAATTATCAGTAATATGGAAAGAGGCAGTGATTTGTTACCACACAGTTGAAGACACTATAAGACACATACAAAAGCATTTTACTTTAAGTCTGTATTTATAGTTCTAATGTTTCTGTGTTTGTGTTTGCAAGGTTCTAATGTTGACCACAATGCTTAGCTGACTTAAACTAAAGAGTAAGATTAATTTTAGGAAGCATATCAGAGTTACAAGGGTTAATGTGGTGCTGCCAGCTTGGTGGTATTGCTGACAGAACTCAAGCAAACTGCAGCCAGCCTTTCTAATGATGGGTGTAAGAACTGGAAAGCTTCATGAGGAGGTTCAAATTATCGGAGTTGAATAACAAATGTGGCTTATCAATTTTTCTTTCTGCTAGCCTAGTAGCAGAGGCTTTCAGACTAAGTACTTGAAAGCAGACAAGAATTTCATTTCCCAGTTACAAAAAGTTGAGAGCTGGAAGGTATTTCTGCACTATCTCTGAGTCCTGCCACTTTGAGACTTTGTGCCTCTCAAATGATCATTTGAGCCAAGTGCTGCACTGGGATTTCACCAGTGCTGAAGGCAAAGTGCAAGATGATAGGTGCTGGGAAATGGAGGAAAAAAGCAGCAGAACCAATAATCAAAATAATTTTTAAAACAATTAGTATATTAAATAATGTTAGCAAAACAATGAAGAAAGATCCAGTATTTTAGTAGAGACTCAGAAGCTGATTTGTTAGGGTGTGTTTGTACAAACTGAATTGCTTGGAAAAGTCTGTGTCACTTACTGAAACTGTTGAACTGGGAGTGTTTGTTCCATATCCAGATGAAGGAAGGGAGGCCAAGGACCAGCGGCGTCCGTCCGTCCTGGGGAAAAGATGTGAGGGAAATCACAGTCAGGAACACAGTGTGACTAATTCTTGAGAGAAATAAGTTTCTCCTCTGTATCTCCTAACTTCACACTTTTATTAATGTCTTGAGTTATTCAGATAAATCAGGTATCCTATTTACAATCACACTTGTGGGAAAGCAATTAGAATAAGTTTTAAAACTAGGTGACCTTGGAAAAACTAAAGCAAAGGGGCACCAGAATCCTGCATTAAGTAGATGCTTTGTACTTGTACAAAACTTGGAGTTCCTAAGATAGACAAATAAAAACAGCTCCTTGCAAACTTCTTTGAAAAAGACACTCATGCTTATCATACTTATGCAGCTCATTGTCTTCCAAATGAAGATTCAGATTGAGGACAAAAAAAATCACATCAGATCAAGAATCAACTGAAAGCAGATTAATTTGTCTACCTATTCAGAGGGCATTCTGCCCAGCACATTGCCTGGCATGGCTGGAAAATTAAACCCAGCAGGTAGGACCAGAGCCAAGGGGCCCACTCCAAATACGTAAGTAAATCACAGAAATCTCACCTAGGGTCCTTTCTCCTCCGATCAGTATAACATTAGCAGTTATTTCCCTATTGTAGCCAAATAAACATGTTCCTCAGGGAAAACATCCAAAACATTGTGGAGATACTGCAGAAAGGTCTTGTTTTGCCAGTGTCAAAACTGAGGAATTGAAGAACTACACAAAAGCTTTGAGAAGAATCAGTATTGCCTTCCCTGAAATCCTCTTCCCCAAACCCAATATCAGTGAGGATGGAAACTGAACTGCATTCAGCTCAATCTCACAGCACTTTTTCTGTCTCTGATATATTTTCCCACATTTTGTGTCCTTAAAATGGACAACCATGTCCTATGGCACAGTGGGATGGATGTTAAAAGTCTCTTCCTCACATAGTTTCCTTTGGGTTTTTTCTTGCAGCAGATTATCAGTAACTGGTCATAACATGAAGCTGAATTAGAACAGCTCTAACTCACTTTGGAGACATATGGGGGGTTTTGGTACACACAGATATAGTGCATTTATGCAAGTGCATTATAATATAGGATATTTGGTACAGGTCTGAAATAGTGCTTATAAAAACCTCAACTCTTATCTTCACAGTAATATTTCTCATCCCACTATCCATACCCATGAAGGCTCGTCTCCAGATAAACTTATCAGTGCCCACCAAGATAAAAACTCCTGTTTACAGTTTTTCCAGCTCTAGTCCCTTTTTTTTTCAGGCACTGATACACACCACTCCTTGCCATCTATCTTAGAATGAGAGGGAAATAAACTCACTGTTCCACATCACTGGAAGAATATTATGTCAATAGAGTTTTAAAAAGACTCATGCTTCATGCATTAAAAAAATAATAAGTCTGTAATACAGATTTTTATTGCATGCCTACTTTTCAGCTAAACCCCATTTAGCCACAGGTGATGTTTTCTCTGGCAAGACAATTAAATGTAAAAGAACAATCTCAAAATAATTTCAAGTGAAATGGAACTCCTATCTTAACCCTGAAAAACAACAACTATCTGCATTACAAAGTTGTTCCATGCTGTGGTAAGGGATCGAACACCAAACTTCAATAATCTTCATTGAGTTTCTTGTAACATACAGGGGCTCTGGGGAAATATTTAGGTCAATGATTCAACCTCACTTTGGATCCTCAGTCCCAGAGCAAAACATTCCGTTGCTTACTGCACAAGTTACTAATTTGTTGCAAAAGAAAAGCTTGATTTTTTTTTTTTTTACTGAATTACCTAAATGGTGTATTGAAATAACTTTAAAATTTTCATTTTGACCAAGTCAAAAGGAAGTATTTTCTCAATTAGAAAATTCCAGACAGCCCTTCATGCTTAGGCTGTTTTCTGCTGATGCAATCCAGGCAAGCAATGTGCTAAAGAGTCAGGACAAACATATCAGCTCTACTCTAGCAGAAAGAAGTGGGACAAGAGTGAAAATCTTTCAAATCAAGGAAGGGGAAAATACCTTTAAAGCAAACTTCTCCTAAATTTATGCAAAGCATTTCAAAGTACTTCAGTGTTTTGTTAATAAACATTATTTTAGAGAGACAACATGCAATATTACTTCAGGATAAGACACTTGGAATGACACCTTTAGGTTTTTTCTATTTATTACAGATGCTTTGCTAGCCCAACAAAGACATGCAAACAACAAATTTTGCCTCTAAAATGATATTTTAATTAGTTAATTATGGAGGTGATTTTATGACAGCTAAATGCTATCTCCTGAAGAAGCAGATCAATTTCAAACAAGGAGTTAGAAAAACAACACATCTTCTCCAGAGCACTACCTGCTTATAATTTGAAGCCAAAATGTAAAGATTTTCTGTTTCTATTACAAACACTAAAAGCTGAATGCCTAAATGGGGTTGTTACAGCATGAACTTGTTAGGGACACGTGCTCAGCTGCAGAGAAGCACAGTTCACACACACACACAAACAGGAGCAATGGGATACACGTTACCTGTCTGCTCTGTGTCCATGGCTGTGTGGAAAAAATTGTACAATAATCATGAGAGAGGGAGAAGTAAATTATGCACGTGATTTCTGAAAAAAAAACCTTCATCTTCTGCTACCGGTATTCCTCCAACACCAGTTTTAGTGAGTATGAGCAGAATTAACCATACATTCCAACAGGAGGATTCCTGCCCATGTTGTGGCTGTGACACAACCACTGAAAGGGTATCTAACAAGGGATTTATGGTTAATCACAAGTCAGACTAAGGACAATCTTGCAGGAAATAGAAGTGGCTTTACAATAACACAAGTTTTCCAAACAAGTTTCCTATTCCATCTCAAGAAAGAATTCATCACAGGACTATAAAGAAAGAATGCAATGCCAATGAAAAGGGTTCTGTGAAAGACCCATTTCTGGATATTTACAAGTGGCACCACACTTGTAATTCCTTAATTCCATCATACAGAAGTTATTCTGATACCACTATGGCAAAATCTAGTATGTATCTGTTGTTACTGCTGGCATAGCTATTCAGGCTGTAATGCAAGCAGAAAATAGAAACAGGTTTCTAAAACAAGCAGTGCTTAAGTGTTCTTTTTCCTGGCAGGAAAAGTATAGAGAGGAACATGCATACTATAAAACACTGTGCTCAACAGGACAGGCTTAACCTTTATTCACCTATTTCTTCAAAAATTAGATTTAAAAAGCAGAAAAGTATGAAAGGGCACTCTTCAGAGCTTTAGAAAGCCATATTGAAGGATCAAGTTGAAATGTGATGTTGAAAAATTACATTAAGTTTTGACAATAACTGCTGTTTCTGCTGCAACATTTCTACTGTTTTCCAAAATCTAGAACTCCTGTGAGATACTTCAGATACTGTGAAAACTGGTAGAAGTTCTGTTGATTTCAACAGAAATGTTGATGTGGATGGGTCCCTTTGAATTGTTTAAGCAGCAGGTAAAGTGCCAATTTTCTCTCTGAGGCAACAGGAAAATACATATCCAGTCTCTTACATTTCATGTGCTATTAAAAAGCATTTTCTTACCAGAAGACCAGAATCTGCTTCAAATAGAATTCAAGGACACCAGGTCTTCTAACAAATCACCTCAATGGAGAAATGCTCCAGGATTTTCCTACCATTCAGATAAAGAGTGTACCTTATTCCATCAAATCCTAACCTTTATTCTTCTTTGAAGTTTTGAGACTTACCATTTTTTCTAGTCCTCAAGCTAAATCTGTCTTTCTCAGAAAACTTACTTCCTCTCAGGATGATCACACATTTCCTATTCTCAGATCATTTTAACACAGACTGGGTTTTTTCAGCTAAGGCACAGTTTAACAAATCCAAAATACCTTCCTCATATTTTAATCTAATAACCCACCTCCTATGCAAAAACACTGCTTGGGAGCTCTCCAATTTCCCTATTCTTTCTTTCTTTCTCACAAAATTTAACTTTCTGTATCATTATCAATTTCTGCCTACCTGCTGGGATTCAACATTCAAATCACCATTTTCCTGCTCTTCCCAGCTGTCTCTATTCTTTCATTCCTGTTCCTTAAACTAAATCCACCACTGTGGTATCAGATTTCTTCCCAGCAGTTTGACACACCGCATGACCAGCACCTGTCCAGCACTTGCTGCAGGACAGACGCCAGCTCCACACTGGGGTCTCTCACTGCTACTCTTGTAGAGGTTCTCACAGACCTGCAATTTCAATTATCAGCTATTCTCCTCATTGAGCAGTAATGTTCTCTTGACATCAATACCCAAGAAAGCAGAGGAAACTCGTGAGTCACTACTAGGGAATGAAGACACAGGGTTGTGCACACCTAATTTAAGGTATTTTTATACCTTCGTGCAGACACAGTGAAGAAGATCAGTACATTTTCAATACACCTCAGTGAGATCTAGGACTACAACTAAGTTACAATTACCTTAATCATGACTGGCTTTAATGTCACTTTGACTAAATTATGTGTCATATCACATGCCCTACATGTCATTCTTCTGGGAGAACATTGCCTCTTCCCTAGGCAGCATTAACTGCTCATTTACTTTATCTTTTTCTAGGTCTGAAAAGCACCTAATACATCCTGGTACTGCCCAGACGTAAGCCATAAGGAGTAAAATAAAATATAATTGGAAACATCAAAGAAAGTAAAACACAATCAAAAATGTTCTAACCTATAGTCCATTTGTAAATAAAATGCATAGACTATTTGCTTGCCAGTCTAAAGAGAACAGATCTTGCCTTACCTTCGGGCAGGAACAAAGGAAAAATGAGCAGGTGCATTTGGAGAGAAGTTCCTGGGACTGTCCAAGGGGCTGCTACCTGTTTAAGAAAGCAAAAATTAACAGTTCAAAACCATTTTGTTCACATTTGCAACAAATGGACTGTTTTCAGTGTTCTGCAAGACTTTGAACTGCACATTGCAGTAACAAATAATTGGAAATATGAAGATTTGAGTCATTGAGTTGAGCATTAATTTGCTATAGAAATGTTCTGACATAGATGTACCAGTATTTTTCCTGCTTTTAAAATAATTTAGAGGGTATATTTCATTTCCTACTTTCAGGAATTAAATGTACCACCCATAAACAATAGAGTCCTTTATATTTTGCAGTGATTTCTATCTAGAAGCTTTTCCTAACACTTGTCAATGAAAAACCCGAGTTAGAAGCGCCACATGACAGTTTCAGGAAAAATAAACAGTAAGAAAATGCTTCTTCCCAATGCATGCTAAAGTTGAATGCAAAATTCACTGAGGAAAAATAACCTGCACATAATAAAAGGACTACCCATATGTAAGATGACTGGTCTAAAACCTATCAGCAGTCACACTCACTACCACTTTCCTGAAACAGAACTTTACCATGAAAATGAAAGTACCAGAGAAACTATGCAGAAAAGAAGAAAAAAAAGTTAATTTTTGGTGTTTTGTTTTTTTTTTTTTTTTTTAATCTGGGCTTTGTCATACGGTGTATAATCATGGTGAGTGGTTTATTGCAATGTATTTTATTTCAAAGTAAAAAGCAACCATCATGCTCTGAAAGCCAGGATCATTTACAAACTAACTACAGAAATATTTCAAAGATATGGATGAATCAGTGAGGGTGTATTTTATTGGGCATGAAGTTGTTTGCTCTGAAAGAGAAACTGTCCATAGTAAATGTGTCAACAGCAATTTCTTTGTGCAAAGACAACAATATAGCACTAAAATAAGACCAAGAAAATGAAATAGATTCTGGAAAAGCAATACACTGCAAGGTGCATCAGAAGTGGTTTTAAATTTAGATCCCATATAAAATGGGATTTTATTTTAAAAGCCACATTGAAAAGCCAAACCTCAAGTATGAGCCATCTGCAAAGGACTTGTCTCTGTTTCAGAAGCTCAAGTTGCCCAGCTTGCCCCTCAGGGCAGCAGTGATTCTTTGGTCCCATTCAGCAACCTACTGAAGCTTATAATTAAGTTATAATTAAGTCACATTAATTTCAATCCAACTTATTCACACACCTTTGCTTTTCCACTGAGCAGGAGCAGAATTTAAGCATGGTGCTCAGCTGAAGGCAACGTTCCCTCCCACTTCAGCCTTACAAATGGGTCACAGAAGTCTGCAGCAGCATCTCTGCACAACTTCTGTGAGCAAGGTGTGCACACCTGGCAGGTGTGTCGGGGCAGGAGGGAGGAGGAGAGGGGGGACAGGCTGACACCTCCTGGGGCATGAGGATGGCCCCAGTGCAGCACAGGCCAGCAAACTCCATCTGGTCCCTAAGTCTATGAGGGGAAAAAAAGCAGCTGGTGGAGATTAAACCGACCCCAGGCTGATGTAACATGTGTCATGGGGTGATGAGAGACCGGGAGAGGTAAGTGAATTCCAGACCACTCCACAATCTGCTTCATCAAGAGCAAACTAAATTACAAACAAAGAGTTTGAGCAACAGGTTTGTTTTCCTTTGCCTTGTTTTTTTTTCTCCATATTGTTACTTAAGACTAACAATGAGTTCACAGTTGAATACAACACAATTCAAGTCTTCATCCAAAAGTGGATACTGTTTAACCTATTCCCAGTATATCACAACTGCAGAGGGGAGAGAGTGATCAGAAACCTATAGCTAAATAACTTCTGGTGTTTCATTTATTAAGCTTGTACTCATTTTAATTCTTATGGTCACAGTGGAAAACCAGAACCATTTTTCTACTTTTGAACCACAAGAAGATGGAGAGGTCTGACAGTCTCAGTCTAGGAGGCACTGCAAGCTTCCAAGGAGACTGAGGAAGTCAAAGTGAAGAACTAAGTCATGCATGACAATTCACATCCCGGCAGCAGGGTCACCAATCACTTGGTAGCAGAAAGTTGAAGGAACATTTTAGGATGCAGCAGGAGTGAGGCCTTTCCATGGTTATGGAGATGATCTAACAAAGCCAGCTTTGCTGGAAACCTTGGTCTTTGCCTTCTCATTTTTCAAGCTTTACTGGCAATGAACACTACTGTGTCAAGATGATAGTTTGATCAAAAACCTCATTGCCTAATGTTGTTATAAACAAGCAATGAACTGTCATTGCTTTTTTATATCTTCATCAATCTTTGAACTTTCTGGGCTATGATCAAAATAGAATTTCAGAATAACTGAGCAAATTGGGTAATGACAGTTTTAAATTTTGAAATTAAGTGTGTGGGTGTTCAAACTCTTCTGAGCCTGCACTGTGTGGTACAGAGATACTACTAATTTTTAAGCAACTACTTTTTCAGATGTATATGGCATATTTCCTTTCAGACACTGGAATTTTAATGAGATCCCCTGTGATTTGCTTCTAGTTTTAAAATGAAAAGCAATTAGTTTTTCTACTCAATTCAAGTCTGGGTGAAGCTTTTAAAACAACAACAGGGAGACAGGGAATTTCTACTTTCCCTAAAATTTCCCAGTATTGCTGCATCTGCTGTAGATGAAGGTATTTTAATAAGAGAAGCCTGAGTGCAGTGGTCTCATTCACCAAGGCTGATCGAAACCCTATTTATTCTGTAGCAAAAGTAGATTCCCCTGTTGCTCCAGGGTTATAGTTGGCTACTACTGAACCTGAAATGCCTCTGTCTCAAGGGAGGCTGTTACACAGAATGATTGCCCATTAGGTAAATCAACACAGCAACACCAATGCCAATAATTCAGGCAGGAACCTTTACATCTTCCGGACACAGGAAGAAGGATACAGCCAAAGCAGTTGTAAATCCACTACCTTCAAAATATGAAACCAGACCTTACAGGCAATGACAGTCTCAGCTATCCCCTACAAACATGAACGACACTCATCAGATAGCTTATGAGCCCAAAAATTCACAACAGATCCATGCTGCAAAATCTGCTTCTGAGAGCCATAAAAATTAATAAATAAACACAAAAGGCTACGTTTTTTTCTATGCAGAATATTCAAATTACCTGCTGAATATTAAAGCAAGCAGCTAAAGATAATGTGCATGCTACAGACTTAGACACCTTCCAACACATTCAAATTTCAAAATTATCACCATATTTAAAGCACTCTGTGTGTACCAGCAGTCTCATAAACAACGAATGCCATGGTGCTCTCACACCACCCGAGGATCACAGCATGACGTGCTGATGAACCTGAGCTTTGATAACCAGGGCAGGATCTAGTGGGATGTTACACACTCTGCACACTCTAAAAATAATAAATAAATAGGCACCTCAGCAATAGCCATTTTTCTGCCAGAAGGTGGAACTGAACTAGCAGTGTAATAGCAGAATCATTTAATTCAGTAGCACAGTGCTGCTGTGAGCAGCTCCCTCCGTGTGCCATTACAGATTCGAGCAGGGCAAAGGTCCCAGCAGTGACAAGTGCCCCCACTGGAAGCCAGAGAACAACCTGGCTGCCTTACAGCTGTGGAAAGTAAATTTTAAAATAGCCTGAGTTTCAATTTCCCAGCTGTTATTACCTATTTCTTTACTACTAAATTACAATGTAACTTATTCTATTTTAAGCTTTTTGATTTAAAATATAATCTAATGTTAAATTACTTATGAACCTTATGGTGTAAACTCTTTGCAATTTTCAGATTTTAAAAAATGGATTCAAAGAAATAGAAAAAAAAATAAGGAATACACATGTGTACCTCTTTACTTCCCCCTCTCATTTCAAAACAAAAAGAATTTAGAATAAAGGCAAAATTTTCAAACTTGCATTCCTAAAACTGGCCACTACAAGTTTGGGAGACTGAACCAACAGAGCGACTTCCTCATGAGCTGTAGCTCTTTATGCCAAAGTACCAGCTCATTCTGGAAAATGCTCTTTCATACAGTTTGAAAAGGGAACTAGCACACTTCAGTGCTCTTGATTCAGAAGTGATTTCATGGCATGGTTCAAAATGTTTGGATGTACTTCTTTCTCAAATGCTGAGAGCTCTTTAAGTAATACTTTTCTTCTAAATTTTCTAGGATATGTAGTTGCCTGGCACCTTTTTGGGATGCTGTTTGAGACAGCAAATCCCTCTGCCTGGATCAGTACTCGTGAGGAATTAGGTTTGCCTGACAGAGAGACAACTCTCCTGGATCTCGCCCACTGACTTTTACAACACGTACAGAAGAGTAACTCCTGATATTACTGCCATTTATTTATATTTGTGTATTTAGTGCATTGTATTTTAATGTATTCATTTTAGTATTTTAGGAATTTATTCTAGTGTGGTGTCTGAAGAGAAAGATTTTAGAAAGCCTCCCTGGTTTCTCTGCATGCTTGTTGTTCCTTTGATTTGTAGGAGAGGCTCAGAATGGGCATTAAGAAGAGAAAAGTTCAAGACAAAAGAGGCCGGAGAAAGGCACCAACATTTCTTAGTAACTCATCATTGCGTGTACGTGAACAAACAGACTGACAGATTCTGTTCAAATACTAAACAAATATCACAGCCTGTTCTCAAATTCACTCCTCATATATGATATTTCTTAAGAAAATATTTGTGACTCTACTCTAAATTTCATCTACTTTTGTCTCTTAAATAATTTTATTTTTTTTTTCCCAGGGAAGATTCTGGTAGAGAATCCAAATTACAATAAATTTATCTTCCTGTGCACTACTGGCTACTCTTGCAGGTAACAAAGGATGTCCTTTTAATTAATAATTTTAAATCCCATATGCAACATCAGGGAGAAAAAAAGGAAATATTTCAAAATTACTGCTAAAGTAAGGTGGCACACCACTGAGTAGTCACTCTTTTTTTCAGAAGACAGTCACATACTTCTAATAAATTATAAGCTTGTAAAGCATGAAGCAGCATCAAAACCACCAGAAGAAACTTAATTTTTTTAATAGAGGAGGAAAGAAAATCAAAAGAAAATACAATATACATGGTTCTATTATGAACATTTCTGCATTTGTTTTCTGACCAGTGATCATGTCAATATTTTGTTACAATCTCCCAAGCATTTATTTTTCTCAGTTAAATGCTCATAGAGGTAATTGAGAATTTAGTGAAACCAACACATATATGAATTCAAAGCAAAAGGCACAACATAACTAAGTGGAGAATCTCTACCAAGAAAAATGCCTTGTTTAAACTAAATTTTACAGAATTGTTGCTACCATAACCACACACAACGACAAGGGAATTTGAAGTGGAAGGAGATGGTCCTATACACATTTTTAGCCCTGCATTTTCCTTCAGATTCTGAAGCAGAAAATGGTTTTAATATACCATCTCTAAGATTTTGTTAACATTTTAATTTGAAAATTATGGGTCATTTTAGAATAACAATGTACTTAAAGCATCTTCCTAGCTTTCCATGACTGGGCTTTTTATAGCATCTCAAGAAAATGTGGCAGATTTTTACAAAAACTTAAGAGTGAATGAGGCTTTTATGGGCATCCCTGAACAGTAACTTCAGCCTCCTTTTTCCTTTCAACAGGCTGGATATCACTTCCCGGGATGCAAAGCTCTGCAAACAAAAGCAGATGGCTCCTTCTAGCTGAGCTACCATCAGTTTGCTGTTCTTTCTCAGCATCACCTCAGTTTCATTCTCCAGAAAGCATTTAGAGAACATACTGCCATGTAGGAGGAAGACAGTCTGATTATAATGAAAACAACATTCCTTGTCTCACACGCAGCAGTAATGTGTTTCCAGAAGGCTCCACTGTGGGTGATGTGCCTCAAACGTTCCAGCTGTCTCCTGCTACTGACTGCTGCCCATCAGGGATAGACCTGGAGCCCAGTCATCCTCTCTGGCATTTTGAAATAGCAAACCAAAGTCGTCACACATCATCTACCTCCCTCAGCAACAAAAACAAGGGAACATGCTGTTCAGGCAAGCTGTTGAATCTCCATGTGTGACCTTTCTGAAGAATTATTCCTTCTTTTTCTGTTGGAATAACATCTCCACACACTTCACTTCAATGACTAACAAGCCCCTGCCCATGTGTGCTGAAATGAGCATTTCCCAGCTGCTGCCATGGTAAAACTGGGAGCAGTGTAAAAAAGAAATAAAACTCCCAAACACCTCATGTTGCAATGAGGAGCAGACAGCGACCATAAGATGGCACACTGCACAGCTGCCAGGCTGCTGGAGGCACACGGAAACAGGCAGGATGCTCCTCCTCATGAGAACTGCAGTTAAATCACTGGCACAAATTAACCATGCTTAGAGACTCAAAACAAGAGATTTACTTAAATGTATTGATCTAATTTTATTTGGCTTTGTTTTCTATCTAAGGCTCTTTTGCAGGATGTAAGAGGATTCAATCCCCCAGGAAGAGCGGAGGAGGAATACAGAAGCAAACTAGAAAGTGCAGAACATAAAACATTTATCTTGAAACTATAAGGACCCTCTTACAAGTTAGAGAAGGTGGAAAACCACAGTCAGAGTAATTTCCATAGGGCATAATTTGATGCTGAGTACCAGTATGCTCAAACTCACTGCAATGAGTGACTACTGATGCTTCCAGGTGGAGCCGTCCTAAGGAGTTACCTGTGTGTCCATGAAGAGGGGAATGTGGCCGTGGGAGAGTTGGAGATGTGCTGGATGTTACAATCAAACTCTTCCTGTTGCTTGTCCGACAGCTGAAAGAAAGAAAGATAAACCAACCATTAGGCACTGTCAGATGGACAACAGCACCTTGAGGCAGCTCCTGCAGAATCTCTTTCTGCTAAGGAGGAAGCTCTCAGTATTTAGGGTAGGATCTTCTCATACTCTTGACCTCAGTAGTGATCCTGCAAAGAAGGAAATGTACAGGGAAGAAAGGTACTTTGTCAGCAGCAAGTGTTTCAACACTCTGGAAGCATTTCTTGCACAGGCCGCTGGAGATAGCTGGTAATTTATTCCTGATTCACAGAATACGTGCAGCTCATGCTTTACAACTCGCACAAAAAGCAAAAAACCATGTAATATAGCCCAGAGTGCTCTGGATTCTCTTACCAATATCCAATGTAGCAAATAAATCTGTTACAATTATTGGCTTGGTTATAAGAAACTAGAGCATATTCCTTAGGGCAGAGTTAAAATTACAAAGTGCAAAGTGTTAGCACAACCCAGCAGATGAGTGGGATTACTAATCAAACTTAAAGCCTGAGATCCAAAAATCATTGTGAACACGTGGTAATACTGATGGAAAACTCTGCAAAGAAAGCTTCAGACACATCTCTACCACATCAACTCCACTCATTGCCATGCCTTTGTTCCAGCAAGGAAAGTGACACGGGACAGTTCAGATTTATTTTTTCCCTGTTGGGAAAGCTGAGCCAAATGAAGGGAAGGATATATTCCTACATTTGCTTCCCAGCTCGTGACTGCTGGTAGCAAACATTTGGCTCTAAAGATGATAAAAGGAAATGCAATGGGTGAGCAAAACTCTTTTAAATGATGGAATCTGTGAAGAAGAGCAGTTAGACAGTTAAATCCCTTTGTGACTGCCACTTCTCCTGCTGTTTAAATAGAAGAAATGAAGTTGCCAGCAAAATCTTACAACTGACCAAGCACTACAGCTACATACATCTATTCTCTGTACCTCCAGCTTGCTTCCTACATGGCAGAAACATTCCTGCTTACTTCAGCAGTTCCCAAAACAGGCACCTAGAACCCCACTGGTGTTGATAGGGGTGGGAGAACAGCCAGGAGCAGGGAAAGCTGAGCAAAGGCTGAGGAAGGAGCTCTCTGGCCCCACTCCAAGGGTGCCCTGTGAAGCTCCACACTGGGATCCCCAGGCACAGGAAAAGCCTCTTTGCTTGCAGACCCCAAATGCTGACATCTGCCAGGTCCTTCGTGCACTGACTGATCTGCTGGAGCTGGCCAACAACAAACACACTCGGGCTGCCAAGAACTACAATTTAATGCAAAAGTATTTTGCTGCCACAGGACACAGTGCATCTGACTATTATTATTTGTAAGCTTATTTTATTGCTGTTCTATAGGAAACTAGAGAACTTGATGCAGAAAAAAATACAACTGAACCGCCAACTATAATAAACAGTAATAAAAGTTGAAGCACCATTAACTGCTATTCAGGCTCTTTAGTGTACTTAAAGCATTCCTCAGAATTATCCAACTGATTCCATACAATCTCCATTTACATTCATGTATTATTCAACAACAGTCCATCCAAAAACTGATTGCCATTGTGCACATCTCATGGAAAAACTAACAGCCCGATTTTAAGAAGCTTAAAATCCCAGTTCACAGATATTTTTAACATTAGTTCAGTTACACTATTCCAGTAACTGCTGAAAAAAACCCAGAATATTCAATTCCAACATTAATGCCATATAATCATTGTTTACATTAGCACAAAATCTTTCTTAAAGCATGAAATTCCTGAGTAGTCTAGTGTAATATATATTACTATGTAAGAAATATAAAAAAAAAAAAATCTGGGTATTTTAGTATCAAATATATTGTAAGAATTTAAGGTCGTGCTCAATAAAAACCACTAATACAGTGAGAAAACATAGCTCCATTCTCTACAGTTTTATCTCTTTGCTAAAGAAAGTTCTTAAAGCACACTTTACCACAGCAATGTCTGGAGCTGACTATGGAAACTTGGTATATTTAAACCACAGCATAACAGGGGAAGTGAACTGTCCCAAACTCAGAGCTTTTTAACTGCTTGTCTGCATTTTCCCAGTTGAAAAGAGTTTTATAAACCCATTTTCTTTGCTGTCTTTGCCAAGATAAGGAGCCAAAAGAGAAAGAGTTAAGGGGATGGAGAGCAAGCACAGCTGAGACCCTTTAAAATAGGTCAGGTTTACACAAATGTACTCAGAGGAGGGAATGGCTTGGAGTGAAAGCCTAGCCCAAGCTGGGAATAAAACATTATTCTCTTTGCACCCTCAGCATTGAATAACTTTTAATTTTCCTGGATCTCTCATCTGAAAAAGAGAAACACCACTTGGGTCTGTTTAGCCATTGCTATGACTTATGTGTGTTGGCAAAAAGGCAAAACTTAAACACAGAGACTAAAAATACAACACCCAACTTCTCAAATTCATGGTCTATGCTGAGAAAAATACACAAGTGCAATCACACTCTCTACTGGTGGAAGAGAGCCCTCTGCATATAAAGAAAAAGCTTTTAGCAGATGTAGGAATCCTAGAGGAAATGCAGAACAAGAGTGATGAAGTTCTGGTAGGCACTAAAACAAAAAAGGGTGAAGGGAGGAGGTAACAAGCAGACTTCAGTGGGATGACCTCTGCCCCTACAAGTCACCTTGACAGCATTTGAGCACCTCCTAAAGAACAGCTAAATATGAAGGAAGCAAAGCTGGCTTTAAGCAGGGCTTAGTGCCAAAGAAATTCAAACTAGTCGATTTAACTGTTGGCAGAAGCAGCTCCACTGAAGAAAAAATTATTTCCTGGAAGGTTCATTTTAGACAGACAGACAGTGCTGGGTTCAAAAGTGAGGTACCAGGCCAAAGATAATTAGGAGATCATATTGTTAATCCTTTAAATTGCATTAATTATTTATTACCATTTGTGAATTCTCAAAACAATAAGGTATGTTTTCTTGCTCAAGAATTAATTCAATCTACATAACAAAATAGGAGTAATAGGAGAAAGTAAAAGGGGAGAAGGTTGGCTATATCTTACTTTTTAATTAGAAAAAAATCAGTTTTTTACCAGTCCAGAGAGATTGCAAGCATTATTATTTGTTTATAAGCCAAAGTTTTGCTGTTTTTATTAAACACAAGGTGAGTCCTGCCCTGAACCTTCTTTCCTCTCACAATTTGCTATGGGTCTTGCTAGCCTTTTTTTTTTCTCAGATCTCACCTCATCATTTCAGAGACAAAATCCCCTCCAGGTCTTCCAGCTTAGGCAAAACACAATTTTAAAAGCACAGAGTTTCTGTAGGGCCCAGGGCTGTAGGGCTGAGCTCCAGCCCATGCAGAGCTCTGGAGGTGCTGCCCTCCCTCCCCTGGTCAAACATCCACACTGCCAAACCCGAGTCTAGAAACCTGTGAGATCACAGGAGCACCTCGGTTTAATTCTAAAAACATGGATAAAATGGATATCTTACACTGAAACTGCTGAAACAATGCCTTTGCATCACTATGGAAATAGAGCTTTTACTCTGTTTCTGGAGTTAACATCTCTGCCTGCCCTAAAAATATCATTTGTTACGTGTACTGAAGTGTCCCCAGCGCGTTCCTGAAACTGAACCCTGCGGGACATCGGACAGGTCTGGTAACTGGACACTGCTTTTGGACCCACTGAAATGTGCCCCCGAGGCAGCAGCCTTGCCCAGAGTTATTTCTGAGCACATTTGGCCTTGTACCTGAGCCCTGCACGCAGCCCCAGCTCTTCATCTGCACCCCAACCAGCCTCCTCCTCCTCCTCCTCACCCATGGACAAGCCCTGGGCAAGCCTTGAAAATGAGCACCATGGGTGCACCTTGTTTCATGTGCCTACTCTGAAAAAGTCTGAAAAAGAAATCAATTACTCCGTTTCAGCATAAATCGATATCTGAGTCTTTATTTTAGCAGTTTACTCAGGGGACATCTTCAACTCACTGAGCAAAACTGATTAATGCCCAGGAGGCATCCACGTAATGAAAGCAAGGGCCACAGAAAAAAACAATGCAAATATAAATAACCAACCACCACTATCAAGCCATTTCATAGCGTTGCTGGTTATTATAAATGAATAATGATAAGGAAGTTTCTCAAAATCCATCTGAATTTATAGGATTTGAGGCATTTATCGTAGCTGAAACTGCTGGAGTATGTAAGTAAACAAGATAACCCTGACTGCATGAGCCTCCTCATTGTCTTGGACAGAAATCAACATGAAGAAATAAGATATTCAGAAAAAGTATAGCTTAAATCACATTTTGGTTACTATTCATGAATGCATTTTATTAATATTAGTGATCTGTCATAGAATCACTAAGATTGGAAAATACCTACCAGATCATCATGCCCAACCTTCGACCAAAAATTTTTATTTTAGAATTTTGTAAACTACCTCAGGTTGTCAGAGTGCCAGATTAACTCCTGGACGACCTTCTTTCAAAATAGCATTTCAGAAGCCAAACATCAGACTTGTTCCAGATTTGGCACTCCATTTAGTGACCTCAAATCCCTATGAATTGGGATCCAAAATTCAGAGCAGTCATATCTACTAAAGTTATTTCTGGTTACATATTTTCCTAAAATGTAATATCATGTAACCAAAATTCACCAGATTCTCCTCTGATATTACAGAAGTTTGGTTTCAGTTGATTTGCTTTACAAAGAGTTCTTTATGAGAAACAGACATTTTGGAAATGAAAATAAGTATTTAAAATTTTTATTCACAATGACATAAAATTTACAAAATCCAAAATCTGCATGTCAATGAATGCAGCAGCTGCACAGCAATGTTAACTAGATGTGGAAGTTATCGTCTTAATTATAGTAATTCAAAGATGGAAGCAATTTTGTAAGCTTTAGCACTACCAACAACAGGGATAATTAGTTCTCTAAAATAGATAAGTAAGCATCTGGTTCAACTGATTTCTTTTTTTTTTTCCATATTCAAGAATAGTTTAAGAATTATTCATCCTAGAATAACTGGAGGGGAAAAAAGTATTA